GTAATATATCCAATCAGAAAGGTTGTTAGAAGTCTTTGTCAACTTTTACCTAATAAATATTCATAAATAAGGAGACAAAGGAAAACGAAAGTATAGAGTTTCATTGAAGCGTGGTTTTACAAACACAATGGCGGATTACTTTAGTTCTAGCGATGATGATGAAGAATTTCTGGGATTTACAGTGGAAGAAATAACTGAAGCTGAAGAAAGGAATGTAAGAAAGCAGCTTGAAATAGCTAATATTGATTCTGACATCAGTATATCCGATATATCGGACAGTGACTCGGATATAGACTCTGAATCTGAAGCGTCAAGCGATGACGACCAGCCTCTGGCCGAGATTGCGAGATGGTCAATACACCTCAGACCTATCAACGTAAAAAACTTCTCAGGACCAAATCCAGGACCATTAACATTGATGGACACAACAAGAAAAGAAATTGATTTCTTTCATTTATTATTCACAGAGGACATTTACCAAACAATTGCTGAACAAACAAATGCTTACGCAGAGAGGGCACGGATACTGAACCCAAACAGAGCATGGTACCCTACCAATGCTGAGGAAATAAAAGCGTATTTGGGAGCAGCAATTGTTATGGGAGTCCTTCCTGCACCAGCCCAAGACATGTACTGGTATAAGGACAAACTTTTCCATCCATCATGTCTAGAGGGAAAGTTCAGCAGGACAAGGTTTGAAAATATACAGAGGTATTTTCATGTTGCCGACACAACCACAAATCTGGGACGAGGAAATCCAGGACATGATAAATTGGCCCACGTTAGACCAATAATGGAAAAACTACGAGAGAATTTCCTTAGAGAATATAAACCGCATAGGGAAGTGTCAGTTGATGAGGCGATGATTGGTTATTCAGGAAGACTTGGCTTCAAACAATACGTCCCCCTGAAACCAACTAAGAGGGGTATCAAAGTATGGGTTAGAGCTGACCCCCACAATGGTTATGTAAATGACTTTCAGGTCTACACTGGCCGAATAAACAATGCACCTGAAAAGGACCTGGGTTCACGTGTTGTTCTGGACTTGATCAGACCAATAATGAATAAAGGACATCATGTGTACTGCGACAGTTTTTTTACTTCGCCAGACTTATTCCTTGAGCTGTTGCGGGAAGATACCTATGCGTGTGGAACTGTCAGGGCCAATAGGAAGGGACTACCCAAAGACATTGGACAGATCAAACTAAAGGAACAAGGAAAAAGTATAACTAAGCAGAAAGGAAGTATGAGAGTCACTGTTTGGAGGGACAAGAAAAACATTACCATCCTACAAACAAATAGTGATGGTGAAGCAACCTCGGTAGGGCGCAAACAGAAGGATGGAAACACCACAGATGTACCATGTCCAGAGTCCATAAAACTGTACAATCAGTACATGAATGGAGTAGACCATGCTGACCAACTAAGGTCTACATACAATACAGCAAGAAAAGCTCTCAAGTGGTGGAAGTACTTGTTCTTCTTCCTGTTTGATGTGTCAGTTGTCAACTCCTACCTGCTCATGAGAGAATCAACTAATCATGAAATCAAGACAAAGGGGAACAAGACTAGACAAAGGACTCAGATGGAGTTTAGAATGCAGCTAGCCCATCAAATGCTTGGTGGATTCACTTCCAAAAGAAAAAGGCAGGGTGAGGTCCAAGCACCAGCAGAAATAACTCAAACTCACTGGCCGACCATTATGCCAAAAAAGAAAACATGCAAGCAGTGTGCAACCAAAAAAATTAGATCCGAACCCACCTCTGGCTGTGACAAATGCAATGTGAACTTGTGTTTAAAATGTTTTAAGCCCTATCACTTGGAAAAGTTTCCAGAACTTTCATAAATTTGTGACAATAAGTGGTTTCAAACACAAACTTTTTTTTTCATGGACTATTATCAGTAAAAGTATTTGTTACTTTGTGAAAAAAAATACACCAATGAATTCTAAATTTTGTTTTCTTTGTTGTGTGAAAATTTCATGGATGTAAGTGGGATAATAACTGAGATATAAAGGTAAATACAAAGCATATGCATGTTTACATCAAGCGCTAAGCATCCTCCTGAAATCTCTCTGGGGCACATGCTGATAACAGATGCTGAGGCACAGTGTAGATAAGAGTGGCTGGGGCTGAATGAGTTAAATATCTTTCAAAATTTCACTTTTGGTCGCGTGTTTTTCTGTCCTCAAAATGAGAAATTGTCTGAGCGACATCTCAAAAATAGGTAAAAGATTAAAACACCAAATTTTTATGAGTAACAGACCTTGAGGAGTAGGCAAAACCATTTTGGATAAACGCGTCAGTCTAAACTTCCGGTCGTCACAGGAAGTCATCAAAGAAATAAAAAAATTTAACTTTTCTTTTTAAAATTAAAGTTTGCATTAATTTATTGTATCTCTTTCGCTGTTTTAAAACTTCAACTTCCGTTTTAGGTGATAAACTAAGTTATTTTGATATTTAACTTTTGTCATAAATATTGCTTATCGATAAAGTACTTGAAATGTTTTTTATGCATTTTGTAGATACTGCAAATGTCTACAGAAACGTCAGAGATTTTTTTTTTTAATAAAATTCACTTCCAGTCGCTTGTTTACCTGTCCTCAAAATTAGAATTTGTTTTCACAATATTGCTCGGCAACAGTAAACGATTGAAGTCTGAAACTTTCAGGACTGATAGTCAGTCATCAGTTTTCTTAATCGCGAGAAAATCTCGTATCGCTGTTACTTCCGGTCGTGACAGGAAGTGATGCAAAAAAGTGAATGGTTAATAGTTAGCTCGTTGGATTTTCAGGCTGACGACCAGGGTTAAATCTCCAGAGTGTCTGAATTTCTTTTATCACCTTTTCAGCTTGAATTTACGTTTTTATTCTCAAAATCGGACGGAAGACCTCTCATTGCTCGCAATGAGTTTCTAGTTATTATTATTATTCTTTTTTTCTACTTTCTTCTCCGGTACTTTTTTGTCCGGGAGTGTTCTCATAGAACCACTCATCCGATTGACATGAAACCTTTTTAGGGTTAATAGGCATGTTGTGTAGGTGTTCGGAACGAAGGTCATTTTGCGCGCACATGCATGCACGTGCGCGCGCGTGCAATGAGTGAAATGACTGATATACTTGATAAAGCCGTAACTTTTATATTTCTTGATGAATTGCATTGAAACTCAAAATATAAAGATATATTAGTAATCTAGACAAGTTGACATGGTCAAATTAGCATGAACTCACGCGCATGCACGTGCGCTCTCCTCTGATTGGCTGATACAAAAATCTCAATAATTTCCTTGTTTTTTGACGAAATACTTTGAAATTTAAAATATAAGTATATATTATAAGGTGCTACAACATGTTACATAGGAAATCTCTTGAAACCACGCGCAGGCAGGTGTGCTGCAATCTGATTGGCTGAGACTTTAAATGTCTATAACTCACTTGGTTTTCAACAAAACAGGATGAAATTTACGACATGGATATGCTCATAGGGCTCCTACATTATGATACTATCAAAATTGAATGCAAGATCATGCATGCGCGTATGCTGAATTCTGATTGGCTAATACTTAAAGGGTTACATCTCTCTTATTTTTCAATGAAATTCTTTAATATTTAACACAAATGTATGTATTGTGAGACACTATAAGAAAATTAATGTGAAAAATGTAGAAAACATGTGCAAGCACATGCGCTGAAATTTGATTGGCTAATACCCATATGGCTATATCGGAGTAGTTTTCCAATGAAATACCCTTATAAATAAAGTGTCCATCTATATTACAAAAGTATTGTCTAATTTATTGAAGCTTGTAGGGAATGGGGCATCATAAGGAATTGGGGAGCCGTTTGGGGAACATCTGTAACGGTTCCCGTTACAATTAGCACTAGTTTTGTTTGTCAATGTTATATTTTTTCACTGCATAAGTTAAGTGTGCTTTCTCAAGATCAGCATCTGTGAAGCGCCAAACTCTTAGCATGACGTTACAAACTTTTCAATGTTTTTGAGAAGATTTTTTACAGATAATCCGTTTTTTCAGAGATCACCATCGTCTAAGCAGAGTAGTCTATCATTCAAATACCGCTTTTACCATGTACACACACATGCATGGCTCGCTTTTAACATATTTCCTACTTCCTCCGGCATTTTCAGAGTCTTTTACTGGAGTTTTCCAGAATACAGCACAGAATTGCATGGTTAACTCTTGATCCGTGACGTTCTACGACGTCATCTTTTTTGGCTTTTTCAATGAGGACTACCTATCTTCTGAAACTGATTTCTTTTCAACAAAGCAAAATATTAAGTCATAATTTGGAGTCACAAGAGATGAAATAATTCTTAATTTGGATGTGTAGAATTTTTCTGACTTTGTGTCATTTTACAGAAGATATGACTTCAGATGTTATTTAGTGTCTTGATTGTAATTACGAAATTTTGACCTGCTCCGTGATCCGATTTTCCCATTTAGAAAAATTTTTTATGAACATCATTTTAATTTACTGTTGAAATATTTCTTCCAAATTTGGATACAACATGACGTTACGTAAAAAAGTTATGACGGTAGTCCACAAACTTTCCGAACAACCCTCGTATATATACCGATACTCATACTTCAATATTTTGATACTTCAGTATTTTCCCCATACAGTATAATACAGTAAAACATAATAAGTGAACCTTATTGAATAGCTAACATCATCAATATCTAATTGCCTGAATTAATTATTTTCCAATTTTGATATAAATATATATTAGTTCAAGCACGATTTTGAAATTTTCAACATTTGTTTTTATCGTGTTTTACTGTTAATTTTACAATCTCCTGAGATGAAAGCATTAAGGTCAGATAAGGGCTATTGTGTGAATTCATGATAAAGCCTATTGTGTGAATTTGTGGACATCTAAACAAACTTAACCACTGGTTTTCATAACTTGAGGAACAGACAATCTTAATTCAGTTATATTTTAATTTAGATATTAAATGACAAAATTCTTTAAAAAACCTACCACATTAAAGTTGTTAAAGTTTCCAGCGACTTGTGGGGTGGCTCCAGGAGTGACCCCGGGGGTCATTCTTGCTACGCGGGGTGTGGCACTTGCAACCTGGGCCAGTGTGTTGTAGATGTTGCTTGGCAACCCTGCAGCAGCTCTCTGGATTGTTGCTGCATCCACACCTGAGAAATAGAGTAACCAGGTATTTACAAGGTTAAACATTCCTCTGTTTACTCATAGAAAATTTTATTTTAATGACAACACTTTATTTTAGAGAAATGTAAATTATAATTGAAATGCAAACAATTTCAGCATACCCTGCAATACAAAATTTTACAGAATCTAATATCTTTGTAACTTAAGAATTCTAACTGGAATAATAGTCATTTAGTCTCGTCTATTGGAGGAGCCTTATATTAGATCTTATTCCACTGCCAATACTGTTAATTTTTTTTATTCTCTGTATAAAATTCAAAAGAATGTCTACTTATACTTTAGTCATTTTAACATGTTGACTCACCTTGAAGATTGATGCTGGGTGTGGCAAAGTTTGATCCTGGTACAGGGGTACGTGCACTGGCTGGGGTACCTGTCAAAATACAACATTCCAGATATTAGAGAACTTTCCCAATAAGGTCACCTGTGAACAATCTGGAAATGCATACAATTCTAAGTAGCATAAAACCTAAAACACTGATGGGAAAACTTTCCACTGTAAACAGCATGGGAGCTGAAAATGACTTTTAATGGGACACCCTTGAGATGTACAATTCAAATCAGGTCCCTGAGATGTACATGTACAATATCTATCTATAGAGTAAATGAGATACATATACAAATTAAAAACAGAACAGAGTCACTGAAATGGTCAGTATTCCCTTGGAATTGGGTACTTGAAGTGAAACATGTACAAAATCTATCTAAAATGTAGTTCCTCAGATGTACAATAGCTTTTGGGATGTGGTGCCATAAATGAAATAGTACCTGGTATTGGATCCCGGAAATGTTCTTTGAACCAGCGCATCAGTGAATTAAGAGAGTGGAAATTCTGTTGTCGATAACGGAGCCCATCTGGGGTGATAGAGATGTACTCGTGCCGTGCCTTTATACGAGGCATGTAGGACAGAAGGATTTTCCCAGGGTACTGCTTTGTCAGAGATAGGAAGTACGGAATTCTAAAATAAGTGGTGGTTCAAAATTCATTATGGTGTAATAAAGATTATATACCTTATCAAGGATGATTAGTTGTTTTGAAAGCCTGAATAATATTTTGATATTAAAAATTCGGGAAAATTTTTCCTACTTTGAATTCAGACTTTGAATCATTGGTGAAGTCTAGAAAATTCACTTAATTTGCCTACAGAAATCATTGTTGGTGTCTGTACCTTGATGGCCCTTTCTTCTTCTCTTCCAGAAGACATTTTTCGAGTATGTCACGTTTTGAGTTATCCATGTCCTTGTAATACTTAAAGTTCATCACGTCCCGAGCAAATGCTGCCATTGGCTGAATATGGCGAGCGATGATTTCATCCAAGTCTTCAAATTCCTAGAATTTATAACATCAGAGTCATTAAAATAAAATTTAATAATCAAACATACAGTGGTCAATTTGTTAAATCTTAAGCATCCATTGTGCTTATTCTGATGCATTAAGTATCAAAATAAATTGATAATAAGACCAACACATAGGTGTTAAGGCCCATAACTTATTTATATCTGTACTGAAATAGTACCTCATTTCCTATGAACAGGGAACTCCCCAAACTAAAGGCATTTTCTTTCCCCTCCTCTCGCACATCGATGTGCTGCATGATTCCGTCTGCCACCTTCCACGTCACGGTCAGGTGATCCGACCCCTGGAAATGGAGGAGGAAAATTTAGGGAAAATTTATCTGAACAGAAGAAAGTAGCATGACATAAAAAGGCAGCCACTCTAGTACAGGTAACAGTGATCAGTATTGAGATTAACCTGATCATATGTAAAGTTGAAAGTGATATTAACTCAGCAAGACATGTCTCTCTTTCAGTTTTCCTACATTCACAGGAATTTCAGATCAGATAGGAAAGAATGAATTTTAATGACTTTTATAAATCAAATCATTTTGTGACATTGAAATTCAGCTAAGCTCTGTAATTGTTGTAAATTCTGAAGACTTTAGGACAGGATCTAAAGCTCATTCCAAATGGACAGTACTACGAAATATATATATATATATAAAGTCTGGTTATATATATCACATTGATTTCAACTAACAATTTTTATGCATTCTCATGATATCCCTAGAAGGGGTGAAATTGCTAGAGTGCTATTTCTGAGATTTACAGTAAAACATACTTAAAACAAACACTTCTCACAAATTCACACTTAGACTGAAATGATTTCATTCAACAGTTTTAAAAATTATCTAAATTAAAGGATATAACAAATTATGTGTATAACAAAGTTAAATTGTTTATCCCTTGTACTTTGCTAAATCCCTGTTTTACTGTATTTATTGCAGCCTGTTGTACATGCACACACAGAGTCGGGGTAGAGGCATATACATGTATCTCCTACACAACAGAACAACAAAAACATCTTCAGTCTTTGTTCAGATAAAATATACAATGAACAGACTATGAACTTTTATTTACATAAATACATGCATATAACATTCAACTCTTTTAAAACAGATATGCAGTGTTGTGTTTTGTCTTGTTGCTTTTCAAATTGCTCAGATTTACACTTACATATAGAAGGCATTGAGCCATTTTATTAAGTTTATACAGAATTGAAAAAAAACTAGACTTTAGTACATTTATGTTCATATAAAAGCAAATTATTGTAAAAATATAAATAACCTTAAAGTTGGTGATAAACCTTTTCCTACAGCTCTATTCTACTCATAGTCTGAATTAAGGTGACTGAAATATTGCATTTTATTGATTTCATTTTATGTCTATAATGGACCAATAATCATTTTCTTTCACAAAAGATTGAAAAGATTCCGAGGCTTTATTTGCATCATCCAATACGTACCTGCTCAAAACAACACAGATTTTTTGAAAATATCAAATCGAACATGAATAAAAAATAAATCTCTTTTTTTAAAACAGGAATTTCCAATCTATTTATATTTCTACTGTAACATGCAGTTTTTCGATATCAGTTCACATTGGATTTTCCAACAATTATTTATTTATTGAAAAACATGCAGACTTTCCAAATTCCTGACCTCTTTCAAAGAATATAACTTTATAAATAGAAGCTTTCCTTCATCACTCAAGTTTTCTCTTGATATTTAATGGCTGATTTTTTTGCACATGACAAGTCTCTATAAATAACAGTCCCTTTAAATACGAGTCCTGGCATTTAATTTATCCAAAGATTCTAAACCAGTGGTAAACTTATTACCCTGTGCTGTTAAACCTTACTGGTAAGTATCATTGATTGTATTCACTCCTTTATTGTGGAGGGGTTTTGGGTTTGTTGGGAGAACAATTTTATATCGTTAAAAGTAAAATCATAAAATTTTCAGACAAAAGTAACTATACATCATCATTATAAACACCCACCCACTTTAGTAATTTTTCTTCTTCTTTACTTAAAGTTAAATTTTTTTCAACAGAATAAATTTATTAAAAATCAATAAAAGAATGTTCTCAGCTTTTTTTTTTCAACAAATGTTCATGAAGAAGATAAAAAAAAATTATTTCTATTATGAAAAGAAAGAAAATTCTAATTCATTAATTTTAAACTCTATTCTTAATATTCTCATTCTTTGATATAAACATAATGCAGAAATCAATGCTTCCTCAATGCCTCAAAAAGAAGCATTACTTATATTACATTAGATTATACAACAATAAAATAAAAACACAGGTGAATTTTTAGAGCTGACATTTCTGTCATTTCCTTTTACAGGACATACAAGCGGAGAGATGTCGTGTTCTAGGAAATTTGGTCTTGTGTTGATTTTTGTCATACTAGAAATACCCGATCTGTGTCTGGACTGGAATTTCTACATTGAGTCATCGCAATCAGAAAGCTCCTTCTTCAAAGACTATCCAGGTGTTCTGTGGAGCATTCTAGCTTTCTCCATTGTTGGGACAATCTTTTTCATCTTGGAGCTTGTAAACTTGTATAGAGAAGTATTCTGTGACAAACCTTGCGTGTACCTGGATATGGCATCAATGATGTCCACTTGGCTTGAGGACGTCTCTCAAATTGTTCTGGCCACAATTGTTGCCGTGCACATGTCAGAAGTTATAACCCTGGTCCAGTATGCCAAGGCCGGCTTCTCGATTTTTGAGGTTGCTGTCAGAATTATAATGACCATTGTGTATATTCACAGAAAGAAAAATCTACGAGAGATGAAAAGGCAGGTTGGGATCAGTGGCTTCAGTTTAGCGGGGGCCATCATCATCCTGGGATGTGCTATTTTTATTTTGGTGGAACTACATAATGACAATTACAGTCTATACAGTTAGAAATTTATTTGATGAGAATGTTAAAGTTAAAATTGGGGGAGGGAGGGGGAGCCAGCAATATGTTCTTCTTGAGTTGTACTTTTATTATGTATTATTACTTATTCTGTGACTCATTGCAAACTTTGCAATTTGAAAATTGTAAATAAAAGTTTAAGTTAAAACATACTGCATACTTGTTATTCTTTATATACAGTCAAACCTAGTTATCTTGAACTTGATGGGACCGAGGAAAAACTTTGAGATATCCGAGGGTTCGAGATATTGAGGGTAAAAAAATTAAAAAATATGTTGTAAGGACTTCCCAATCACTTCGACATATCCATGGTATTCCAGATATCAGTGTTCAAGGTACAGAAGTTCAACCATACTTTCTGAACACTTTTTATTACAAGCATATGATTGTTATATTGGATCTTTTTTTAAATTTCATTTTTATTTTATTTTATTCATTTTTCTGCTTAATGTTAATTGAAGGAATTTGATCAAGAAGGGGTCATTTTACTTATACACTGTTTCTCATCTAAAAAGTAACACAGTACGGTAAATAAGAGTCTCTTAATAAACTACAGTGCTACCTCGGTATATTGCCCCCCGTTATATTGCCACCCCCGCTTATTGCCAATAAATCTCCAAGAACGGATTTCCCCCTGTGTTAATACACCCGTTATATTGCCACCCCCGCTTATTGCCATCCGCCACTGTGTTTGAGAAACAAATAGTCAAATTATCTAAGGTAAACCCTCGATAACAATGCCAATTACCTAGCACGTGTCGGTGAATTAGACATCATAGCGGACGGTGCTTTGACAGTGGTTTCGGTGAAGCGTGACTGGCTGGACATGGAATTCAGGTAAATTAAAGATAATTGTTGAATAAAACTCAAATTAAACATAAGTCTTTGGTGTTGTTTTTAAAAAGATAGCAGTGTTATTTCAATTAATAATGGAAACACCAGGCAAGAGGAAACGCACAACTTTAGATTACGAAAAAAACAAATAATTGTGCAATATTCTAAGTTGCACCCAAAATCGAGCCAGCAGGAATGTAAAAAGACGGACAGTTGGTGAGATTCTGACAAAGTCAAGTCAATTTGAAAATGTCGACTGTGAAGGTACACCCCCGAGAAAACGTCATAGAAGTGCTCATTATGCTGATATGGAATCAGCTTTATTTATGTGGTTTTCTAATGCGAGGGCACAAAACATACCAATTTCTGAAGAAATACTAAAAACTAAGGCTAAACAATTCGGAACAGGAATGTGTATTACTGGATTTTCTTATTCAAACGGTTGGCTATCGAGGTTCAAGATGCGTCATGGGATTTCCTCACAAATAATTTCTGGGGAAAGTGCTGGTGTTGACCCTCAATTAATTTCAGATGGTAGACAAAAAGCTGCAAGTGTTATTAAAAATTATGAATTAAAAAATGTGTTCAACATTGACGAAACTGGTTTATTTTATCGTCTCCTTCCGGATAGATCATTAACGACTGCAGATGCGACAAAAGGTGTGAAAAAAATTAAAGATAGAATAACTATCGCGCTTTGCTGCAATGCCGATGGCAGTGAAAAATTAAAACCATTTGTTATTGGAAAGGCTGGAAATCCTCGTTGTTTTAAAAATTTCAATGTTGGACTTTACTGTGACTATGTACATATTAAAAAGGCTTGGATGACATCAGTAATTTTTTCCGATTGGCTTCAAAAATTCAACAGTAAAATGAGACGACAAAATCGCGAAGTCTTGCTTATAATGGATAATGCACCCAGTCATATTATCCCAGCCCTTTCAAATGTGAAAATTCATTTTCTTCCTCCAACAACAACCAGTCACCTACAACCGCTTGATTCAGGGATTATACAGAGTTTTAAAAAACATTACAGAAAACAACAGTTGTCTCACTTGATAAAGTGTATCGATCGACGGGAAACACCGTCCCTATTTTTAGACTCTGCTATTCGATACGTGAAAATTGCTTGGGATTCCGTAACCAGTGAGACTATTATTAATTGTTGGACACATAGTGGGTTGATCAAGAAACCTGAAGGAATAACAGAATCTGACGACAGTACTCAGGGTACTAGCGAACTTGAAAATATGTTACAACGGGTTCAGGAGGATTTAGAAATGGACCCAGACATGAGACTTACTATTCGACAATTCATCGATTCAGATCGTGACGCCAACCCGACCGAAGTTTTAACTGACTCTGAAATTTTGGAGACATTAAAGAAACCTACTTCCGAATCAGAATCTGACGACAGTGACACTGAACCTAAAAATATTTATATACCGTCAATGTCAGAAGCTAAAACTGGTATCGACAACGTTCTTAAGTTCTTGGAGCATGACGAGAGAACGACAGAACAAGAAATTAATAAGTATTTGAGTATTCAGACATATTTATTTCAATTGAGTCAAAACTCTAGCAAACAAAAAACAATTAGTTACTTTTTCAAAAAGAAATGAAAGTCACGTTCTGTTCTTTTGTAAACACACGTAACATAAACAAAATGTCACAAAATAAATTGTGTATATATATTGATTTTGTTTTGATAGTCTACAGTTGTAATTTTTGGAAGAACTCGATATATTGCCACCCTCGCTTTAATGCCAAAATCTGTCTTGGACAAAAGTTGGCAATATATCGAGGTAGCACTGTATGCTTATAAATATTATGTGTACGGTATTTAAGATTATAATGTAAAGATTTTGACAGATTTTGTTTACACAGACAAAAACCAAGTTTGTATTAAAATATACAATAACACTGTAGAGAAAAAGAAAATTATTTGTGGAATAAGGATTTTTTAAATCAAAATCTGAATGAATATAACTAATAATTATCAAGATCAAGTGTGTATATAAATAACTTCACAGATTACACACACCTGTAATTTACACCTGAAGGTTACACTTGAGTGAACATGACACTTGTGATATTATTTTTAAATCAGTGACTTCTAGGTGGCATGGTGTTTTGGGTTGATTTTATGATTTCTTCGAGTGTTTAGGAGTTCTAGGAGAGTGTGTTTTTACAGAATCAGATATGACAAGATAAACAGAAATCTCTACAGAGCCTGGATCTCAGTTTATAACACTTCTACATCATCTTAATATTCCAACACTGAGCTAACACAGAGAAATATACCCAGTAAGTATCTATAAACCTAAGCATTTTATCAACATGTTGCTAATTTTAATCCGCTGCAATTGGCAATGTCTTGTTGCATTACTAATAACAAATTCTACTGCCCTTCTTGGTAAATTATCTATTCACGTTTTCATAATCAACTCCTGGTATAAAATGATTGAGCATTCCACAATACAGGTGTGTTCACTAAATCATATTGCTAACCATCTATAATCCAGCACACCACTATACAATCTTTTTTCAGTGTACTTTGAGTGTTAATACACTGGAGGATAGATAAATGTGACAGATTTTACTTTGAGTGTTACACTGGAGTACAGATAAATGTGACAGATTTTTACTGATTCTTAAATCTCTAGCCAAACACTGACCTACTTTTTGCCTACTCTATCATGACTTTAGAACTTAAAATTTTTTTTTTTTTAAATTGCATTCCATCTTATACGGCGTAACTTATAACTTGTATGGGCAGGTAATATAATCTAGGCCTTGTAGTATTTTTCATTATACCGAGTTAATCTGCCTCTGTGCTCCTAACTAACAATTAGTTAATTACCTGAATAAACAATGTGTGTTTGTGAAACACTGATGCTCTCTAATGGCAGCATTTTGCAAAAGAAGCTCTGACTGTAAGGTCAAGGTCATGAGGTAAAAGATGTTGGTACCTAAAGAAAGGTCACAAGGAGTATAAAGTACATTAAGATACTCATATTCCTATCATACATTTACTTAGACACTAACACTAAAAGACTAGCTCAGTCATAGAGGGGCTGGCAATTTGCTCATATTTAGCTTTTGACATAATGTGCAAAAAATATTTTTTTTTTTTGGTGAGGTTAAAAATGGACTGCTATTGTACATCCACATCAATATCTGTTGTATTTTGTTTTTCAGGAAAATGGCTAACTGCAGACAGTTTACCCTAATGACTCTTGTCTTCCTCATTGAAGCCATAGACCTTGCGTTTGACTGGATCTTTTATACCAAACTCCATCAGACGGAAGATGAATATGTCACACAAAATCTCCACCTTCCCTGGCTCAGCCTGGGGTTTTGTGTTCTAGGAACACTTGTTTTTGTCTTCGAGATGATCAACCTCTGGTTTGAAGTCTATACAGAACGTGGCCCCTGTCTCTATGTAGACACAGTCTCCATGGTAACCACTTGGGTTGAAGATGTGCCCCAGATCTCCTTGGCTCTGGTGATAGCTGTACATCAACACAGCCTCATACACTGGGTACAGTTTGTTAAGGCCGCCTGGGCTTTAGTGGAGCTGATTTTCCGTGGGGTAGGACAGTGTCTATACTGCTCTGTAATCTCTGAGAGACACAATAAGTCTGTCAATCACTGTATAGCCGTGTTTAAGTTCCTGGCTCAGTTTGTTATTCTAGGCTGCTCTGTAGCTATATATGTACACCTCCTCAAGTGATCTAGGCTATTCTATATTTATATATAAATCAGGAATTCTGATGCCTTCTTCTTGATCATGGCGATCTTTTATGTTGTGTACCTCAGAATGAGTTCCTCTAAATTTGATAACGACTGGGAGACAAATGTGCATGCAGCAATGATTGTGATGTAACAAAAATTACTGTTCTGCTGAATTTGTATTTGTTGAAGAACTTTGTTGAAGTATTTGTTGAATTTGTATTTGTTGAAGAACTTTCTTAAACACCTACTTATTTAATAAACCAGTTAGTGACTTTTGATTCTGGACTTCTCATGACTAAATAGACCCGGTCAGGTGTTTGTTTACTTTAGCATCAGTCAACTGATACCTGATCAAGTCCATATAGTCATGACACAGCATCCTTAAATGTCATACATATACCTTGTGATGCGATGTAACTGTTTAATAGCTACTATGTATGTATACACATCCTGTGCAGTTAGCTACAGGGCTCAACATTACACTGTAACTAAAATATCCACTTGTCCATTTGACAAGTTGCCGACAAATGTTACTTGTCCAAATTCATTGTTAATGTGTCTAACTCTGAACAGATATAAAGAAATTTGTCTTGATCACCCTCATCAATTTTAAAACGGTATCCAGAGAAATCTGAACCCCAAGGATTGCAACTTTTGCGATTTTCAGAAAATGACAGTGGTTAATGAATTATGTAGGATTAAGGGAAAAAAAATCTTATTCACAACATTCCATAAAGATAAAAGAGTCACTTGTTCGATCGGACAAGTGTGTCTGGAGGTTGACTTATCCCATCACAAAATGTACTGGTTACAGACAATCAGACAAACATTGATGTTGAAGCCTGAACTAGGGCTAAGGCTTTCCATAGCCATTTACATGTATCTAGTATCTTGTTAATATTTTATTTATCTAATGGTAGTCAAAAAGTTTGTCAAGCTATCAGTATAATCATTTGTTGGTACTGAGTCATCTAGAAATTAAACATGAAAATGTGTCAGATTTGATGCTGCCACATTGAGAGAATTGGTTATTGTTCTTGCTCTTGTTCTTATATTTCCCATAATCCTCATTTCTTACAAAAACCAAAAGGAATCATTGGCTCCAAGGGTAAACAATTTATCACAGTAAATCAGTGAGATTGAATATAATGAATGATGAGAAAGACTTTATCTTTATTTAGTAATGATACTGATTATTTACTACGAATTCATAGAAGAAAATAAGGGGAGTAATTAAGACAAATTCATCTCTTCATAATACAAACAAGCCCAAAGTTACACAAAGCAATTTACCATATCACATTCCTTCTTTCTAATCAGATATATTTCAGAGTACAATCCAAGGTAATCCAAGATTATGAAGCTCACCTTAACAAATCTTATTTATACTTAAGGCAAATCTCACACCAAATTTTTTTTTTTCTAGTTAGTGTGCATCCCGAGATGCAAAGTTGATTTAGGAAAATTTTTTTACCAAGATTTACTTGTTAGCTTGATAGTTGATAACTATAAAAATAAAAGATTATAAATTCAAATAAGTTTTTTGATTAGATAATACTTTCAATGCATTCTTTATTTATCAAAAGAGCAAAGTCAGGCCATTAAAGGATAAATTGTGCTGAAATTACTAGGGTATCAATGCTATAAGGCCTGAACACAATACAATACCAACATTAAAATATCCTGTTATACTCAGTAATAGACGTAAAGTTCAGACATTGCTGCCGTTCATCTTGTTGAAATCTTACACAAAAAGAAAAAAGATAACTCTTACCTTACTACTGGGTCTGATGATTGCCTCCCCTTGATCCATGTTTTCTAGAAGTTTTTCACATTCTCTGTACCCCACATTGTGGAAGGAGGGGTGAGCTATGACCCTCTTTACGTACGCTGTCAAAAAAAGAAAATAATTCAGTCCACATTGTGGAAGGAGGGGTGAGCTATGACCCTCTTAACATACGCTGTCAAAAAAAAAGAAAATAGTTCAGTCATTACTTGGGTGATATGTTTTATCCGAACATTATTACAGACTATGTGCATCACGAAAATAAAAACGCATGGTGAATAAATGCACAGAAGGGAAAGGAAGACCGTGTCTGGTATAAAATCACTGAAGCAGAAAAGGGTTACTTGGCCAAAAAAATTAATTAAAAAGATTATCTGCGTGTGTAAACTTTGCAGTGTGCAAAAAGTGGATCTTTTCACATACCAAAATAGACATTGAAACCTTTTTATTGACTGTAAAATGATTAAATTCTAAATATATTTTGACATGAAAAATGTGTGTATATAAACTGACTCTTGACATTTACCAAACTTTTTCATAGTTTAAAAATAAAGGATTGACTTTAAATTATCATCATTGTAAAGATGAGACTGTGCTGAAAATAAAAATACTTGGTTTTATATACTTTTACCCAATAATTTTAGAGTAATAAGAATAAATATAAAGCACTGTGATTTTTTTCTTTATTTCTGAAAATGCCTGAGTAAATGGGGTTATCACTGATGCTAGACTGCTGTGGTGATACGGCTGCAGCAGTGGCTTACTACAGGAGTATACAGTAATGCCTTATCTTAAAAGCTCTGAGGGGGAAAGAGTTAAATGATATAAATTCATAAATAGAACTTGTGACTATTGTTGAAAAATTTACTATCATTCTCTTTTAAATAAAATTGTGCTTAAATTATATCAAAATAAACAATAGTTTCTATAAATACATGGCGACTTTATCTGGGACTCGGGTATGAACTTGGTTAACCAGAGTTACAAAAGTCATGAACAAGCATGGCATCGACCAAACTGACGCAACTTGAACTTTGACTCTTACTAGAGTTTAACCCACATGGCAGGTAGGATTTGTACTCTTTCAAGATGGCGGAAAAAGACCAAGGATAGGATTCTTTGTATTAAAAATTGTGCATCTTAATGTTATTTTAGTTTGGATGATTCTCTGCAATTGCTGAATGATTTTTATCGAATAATGAGGTAACGCTATATGTTAATAATGGACTAAAATGACGCTCACAGTTTAAAACCCTGGTATAGACACAGTTGTCATGATTTATACATAGACCTTAAGCAAATACAAGTCTGATAGTGATATATGACAGGAGTTGGAAGTTTTATCAGTTTTTCAGTTAAAGTCTATAAAATTTGCTCAGTTGAATAAAAGAGCTCTGTCAAATAAAACATACAGATTTTTATAAAGTTTTCACTATGCATTTTGTAAACATTGTCCATTACATATTGAAAATAAATTTGGGTACATACTCTTACTGTTCACTTGATTTTATGCAGATGAGGGGTTCCTTTGGTTATATTTACAATTATGACATAATAGGGGTATGACCCTAGTTCCAGATGAAGTTGCCCACAGAGTATGACTTACTCTGTCTGGCTTTGTGTTTGTTATCTATAAATAGTAACATGACCTACTCTGTCTGGCTTTTTGTGTTATCTTTAAATAGTGACATGACCTACTCTGTCTGGCTTTGTGTTTGACTTTTTCTTCCTCCTTCTCTCTATCCTTGTCTTCCTGTTCTTGGTCGTAATACAGATCCTTAGGCGGTCTACAGGAGAAACATAGTAAATCCGTAACTCAAACAATCAAAATCATTCACATAACACCAGCTCATTTACATGTAACTCATATGCTTCATTTATGTACATGTATCAACAAGATCAGATTTACAGAGAATGTAATAAAGTAGCTGTGAAATTTTATGTCAGTGGGTACAGTCAAATCTACCCTTCTTTGCTGCATCACATGGAGTATTAACTCTTTCGTACACTTAGTGGATAGCAAGTTTTTATTTCAGAAAGATTCATAAATTATAGTACACGTAACATCTTCCTACCTTGTAGACACTGGCAAGACAGACAAGTTCACTACCAGATACGCATCTGTTTATGACTGAGATAGATTCTATTTTTACAAAGTAAGTCTGAGCATGCTCACCGCCAGTGGTTATCTGTGTCCATCAGATCTGATGATTTACTTGTCAAGTCCACCTGAAATCGGTCTATGTCGATCTTGGTGATCCGACAGTGAATAGTCATTCCAGGCTACAAGATATCGAATAAAATATCAACCTACAAATCAAAAAGATCCCTAAAGGGCTCTACACATAACAAAAATAATTCTACAGTGACCTTGACCTGACCTACCTTGACCCTTTCCTCGGGACTCTTGATATGCTTATCACTGATGTTTTTCGTATGTAAGAATCCATTGACTCCATTATCCAGAATGACCTTCACCCCTACAGCTGATCCAGGACAGCTGCCAGCATCAAAATGACTCCACACCTGTGCAGGTAATTCAATAAGGTCAAATATAATGTAATCTAGTTCAAATTCCAGTCCAAATTAATAAGGTTAACCTGTCATCAAGATCAATATTTCTTTCAAGAATAATTAAGAAAGAGAAAAAAATGTTACGTCATCTTTTCTACCCTTATGTTTAAAGTAAGACAAAAAATTATTATAAAATTGTTAGGAAAATAGCAAACCTCGCTAAGCTCTGGAAAGTCACTACGATTACAGAACGGACACTGCCAGAGTCCAGTCTCGTCGTTCCGCACAGGATTGGCCTGATCCAATTGTTCACCTCTCGGACGACGATGAGCAATACCGATCACCTTACCAAGCACCAGTTTACCTGTTAGGCAAAAAAAAAAGTAAGCAATCAATTGTCAAATTACAAACATGATCATCATGTTAAATACAAAACCCAAAGATTCTGTTGTCTTCTGCGGCCAAACAGCTTACAATGATTATCACAATTAAAATCAATTAATAGCTAATTGTAAAATTAAATTGGTTATCTTACACACTGAAAGCAGAATACATGTGTATTCAAACAGCCATAGTAACTAGCATTCTGAGAGTATTGCATAAGCAATACTAGTTCCCTACCGGTAAGTGTAATCTGGTTCCCCTTAAAAAGGCCATAATTCCTCCAAAAATCTTGAAAGAAGCACAACAAAATGCAAACTTGAAAATATAACAAAGGACAGAAACAATGTCTCTTGTTAATAGAACACATACCGACATAGAAAGTCTCTGGTGTTTCTTTGGTAATCATGTTAAATCTCTCCTCATTAAGCGGGGATCTGTAGGGGGTTCGGAGATCTTTATAGCGATGATTCAGTTCTGCTCTGATGTCATACAATGTGATGTGCTTATCTCCATAGCCCTGTAAAAGTTTAAAATCTAATCATTCAAATTAATACTATTCATGTTTTTCCCATAATAATATTAATGAAAAAATTCTAAGACCATATCTGTAAATAATTCAAAGTCATATTAATACCTGTAATATATTTGAAAAACTTTCAAAATTTATCATATACATGAATATTTAAAAATTAAACCTAGAAGGTCAGTCACTAAGAATTTTATTGAAATTTGAAAAATAATCATATTTTAAAAAACATATCATGGTCTGTAATGACTGATTCCTCCTTTTCTGACAGTTTACCTGTCTCTCCAGTTCCTCAGCGAAGGCATCTAAATCGAGGTCTCTCAGTCTCTCGGGACTCTCCAGAATTTCCTCCAGGGCTCCTGCGGGATTAGCATCCTCTGCTGTATCGTCATATTCCAGGGCATCCACTGCCATCTTACGAGCCCACTCATAGGTCTCAGGATGAACTCGAGAACCATCCAGTACCTCAACATAGGAGTCCGTGCTGTATCAAAGAAAGCCATAAGAATCAAATGTGATTCAACAAAGTAGTTAAATCAACCATTGTTAATCAACTTTTTGTAATTACATTATCTGATGCCAAAACACCTTAAAACATTAATTTACACATTTGAGTTTATAATAAATATATTTTCACTATATTCAACAATGAAACATTTTACAAAACTGTTGCAGATCAACAGTACATGTGCACTGTTTTTTTTGCCACTTAAAAATCAAGATAATTTCTCATTTCCTTGCTTATTAATCTCACCTGTCCATGAGACTGTATGTATCAATCTTAATAAATCCAGCACAATTTATGAACACTTTAGGACCCATGTGACACAAAGTTACAAGCTGAGTTCTGTTTTCAAGCCGAATGTTATTTTGTTTGAGGATTTTCAGTAAATGTGTCCCCTTCCTGGGCCCCAGGCCACACACAAACTGTACGAGGGGTGCTGTGTGGGAGTGTGCCAGGGCCCGATTAATGTCCACACCCACTTCATTTACACGATTCACAAACTCCAGGGTCAGGGCATTCAGTAAAACGTCCTTAGGAATCTGATCCTGTAACAAAAAATATGAAATTATGAATACGGTGTCTATCAGAACATCCTAAGGAATCTGATCGTGTAACAAAAAAATATAAACATGGTGTCTGTCAAAAATTTCATCTCATTATATTCATGTATGAATTTCATTTGCAAGTGGAATTTTTAAAACATTCTGTGTACAAGTTGCAACTATCTTGAAATAGTAGTAAAATCAAAATTTAAAACTGAATTGGATAATTAAGACATTTCTTGCCCTAGACTAACCTGGAAGGGATGATACTTGAGACAAAGAATATCTTCATCAGGATTACAGAGCTGAGCGAACTCAATCAGAGGATCTTGTAACCGGCGAGCGATAGAGATCGCATGACGAAGAACAACAGGGTATTCACGGAAGTCACTCTGTATCAAAATAAATTTAATTACAAGCTGGAATCTACATGTACATGTATATAAAACAAATGTATCACAGACTCTTTACGTCTTGCATAATCCAAATATGAATTTGACATCAATATTATTTTCTACCCTATAGCACAAATATAAAACCAGCATTCTCTTTAGTAGGAATATAGTTTTGTGCACAAATGTGACTATTACACAAGGTTACATTACCTGTCCTTTGTTGGAGTTTTCGTAAACCATGGCGACCTCATTGTCCACTAACTCCACATTGATGGCCGGCATCTCCGCCTCCTCCGTCAATTCCTGGATAATCCGCTGGATATCCTCAATTATCCGCAGAGCATCCTTAGATTCTGCAGTCACAGCCACAACATGGGGCTTCTTGGTCGATATAAACTCCTTCAGTTTGGCAAGGTCACTTTCCTAAAGTCAATCCAAGTTAAATTCAAAGCTCTCATCTAACTCTGACATTTGTATAAATACAGTCGTTTGACCAGTTCCGAAATTTGATCAGTTCCGAATAATTAATAATTTAGGAGCTGATAATTAATAAATTCAAAAGTGTAAACATAAATTCATACATACGGTATGAAAGCTTATCTATGAGTGTTAGGAATTATGTGAAGTTTTGTGATTTTTTGCCGTCAGTTTGTATTCACTATCGTACTTGAAACAGGTGATATACTTTTACAATGCAACAAATCTGAATCACTGCGACAGGTTTGTCTGCAGAAAAACGTCTGTAAAGACGTCAATTTTTCACATAAAACAACATTTCAACTATCAAAAGTCAGTTTCATATGTATTTAAACAAATACCAAAAGCTTGCCAAAATAAATAATTAGACCAACTTGCTATAATAAAATTTTTTTTGAAAGGCTGAACTTCTATGAAACAACATTTAATTCCGCAAGTCATTGAACTACATTGAGAAACAAATTAGATTTTGAAATAATGTCGTCATATATTTATAGCACCGCCTAATCGGTTCCCTATCCGCAACTCGTCAAACGACTGTACTGGTATCAAAATCGACTTTAATAATGCATATCAAAATGATCTAAAAAATCTACTGAACATAACCGCGCACCTTTCCCTTGCGATCCACCTCTCTGAAGGCATTTTTCTTCATACACAGGTACTCCAGTCGGAGGAAATCAGTCACCTGACCCTCAGGATCAATCAGTACCCCAAAGGAGGCCGTATCCCGATCTGTGGAGTACCCAATCCCCAGAACACGCAGTCCCTCATCCTCATAATTATTGTCTTCCAGTTGTTGGTCAGCCTGATATGGAGCGACCTTCAGCCAGTTATAAAGCTTTCTGCAGCAAGCCTATATCAATAGAAAATGTTTTAAAGGATGTCAAAATCTGGATAAAGCATACATGTTCATCAATGAACATGAACTACAACCTACATCACTCATCACTCTGGGCTCTTTACAAGTTCTTAATCCTGGCTTAAAATGAATTCCAAAACAAGATGTGTCTGTATGCCCCTGTATGGCAGCTCATGGACAAGGTTGAAATTTTTCAAAGGTAGGTTAAACTCAAAGGTTCAAGGTTAAGAGATCAAAAATGTTGGTACCTAGAGAAAAGTCTTGTCCCCACATGTGAAATATGAAAGCTATAGAACCAACCATTCTGAAGTTATGGGCAAGGCTGAAGTTTTTTTCAAAAGTAAATCGAACTTTAAGGCCATGAGGTAAAAAATGTTGGTACCCATAGAAAGGTCTTTTGACAAGAAATACATGCCAAAATTTGAAAGCCCTAGCACCATTCATTCAGAGGTTCTTGAAAAATGTTATAGTTTTTCAAAAGTAGGTCAAATTCTAAGGTCAAGGTCATAAGGTAAAAAATGTTGGCACCCAAAGAAAGTTCTTACCACAACAAAAACACAATCATGTGAAATATAAATGCCTTAGCACCAACTGTTCAGAAGTTATTTGCTGACAAACAGAGAGATGGACACACCATAAAAAATATACCTCCAGATCTTTGAACCTGTCTCACTAAAAGAACTTAAAACGTTGGTAATTAGTAACTTTCCCTGGCAGTAAATCTAACTTAATAATGAGGTCATCAAGTTAAGTCACCTTGACAATGCCATCCTTGGCCTCAGCTAAAAGTTTGGTTCGCAGTTCTTTTTCCATCTGAGGATACAAAAGTTTAGTGAGGGCTCGCTCCAGAGCCTGGGTTCTCTGTAAGTTCCATTGCTGGACAAGATGGCTAAACTCATCCTGTAATACAAATACAAACAAGGTACAATGAGATGCGTATGATTTAACAAAACATGTGGGCCTCTCTCACATGTACAAGTCAAATACATACAATCTTCTGACTCCTGTGCAAAATCTGCACAATCCATATTGTATAATAAATATTCACACAAAACTGCACAGCACAGAAATATACTATAATTCATGCCCAAGATCTTCTAAACGCAATTAAACAATAAAATGCTTTCTTGGTTTGTTAATGCAAGAGTTAATGGTTGCAAATATTGTAGAAAAAATACATGTACTTAACACTCGTAAGCATAAGAATATGTATTTTTTTCTGCAATGGTTGCAACCATTAATCCCACATTAAAAGGATTATTGTATTATTAATCTGTACGTCTTTGTATGTTTCACTGATGGAGGAGGCTTAGGAAATCTTACATATAGGTGTCCTTGAAAAACTGGTTCTAACTAGTTTAGCATTAATGAGCTGATTAAGGGAAGTAATTTTCATAAGAAATAAATGAGAAAATATTCAGTGGATGTATATACTTTGTATATGCCTATAACTAACCCTGTAATAAAGCTGTCTGATTTCTTCAAAGTATGTCTGTGTATTCTCAGATTCTTCATCAATGCTGAAGGTCATGGTCAACAGGCGGTCCTCTTCTGCCTACAATCACCATGGAAACATGTCCAGGATTAATGATTCTTGCAGATACATGTATGCTTAAGGAATTCAACTCTTGGTCACATAATACTTTTCTTTGACAATTGCTTACCAAAGTTAACTTGAGATACTGTTCATCCTTGAGATCACGTACAGGTTTGTTTTTGAGATACTTCATACTGTAGCATGCATGCGACTCATCTATTTCCTGCATCGAAAAGTAAAATGTTAAAATATGTTTGATTTTTGATGAGATTTTGGACTGATGCACTACGACATCATACTTGATTTTCTCTCAGAACTTCTATTTAGTTGTACATATCTTTTGTTTTTGACATACAGTAGTTATTCATTACATATAATGGAGATTTTAGATGCCAGAACTAATCAGAATTAATTAGTATAATAGAAGTGCTATCTGATGATGCAATGTACATAAATAAAAAAAAAAAACCTATTTAAACATGTGCTGTAGATTTTTTTCTACAGCAGAAATGTTTTATCTCACAATTTTAGATTTTATTTACAGATACACATACATGTATAAATATCAAACAAGTAGCAGCAGTTCCATTAATGGTACGTAAACCATTTTATAAATTTATTTCTAGATTTATGTACAATATTTAGAAAATACAAATATTGTGTGGTTGAGAAACACAACGCCTTTTCAGTGTATTTGATCTTTGTATATGTCTTGGATCTACAAAAGCCTTGAATGTGATAACAACACATAATACATGCACAGCATTTACCTCAGATTCACAGATAGGGTTAGAGATTTAACTAATTTACCACTTAAACCTCAGAGTCATAACAATCCTGTGTACACGGTGGAAGAAGAATATATCCTTGTAATGTTGAGTGACATTGTCAATATTTTACCTTCATTCCTTTCTTTGTTGGTCTCACTGTGATCTTGGCCCTCTCATAGTAAGCCTGTCTAACGACCTGTCGGACTGTAGGATCATGGGAAATCTGCATAGCAACCATGTGACGTGCCCCTAGCAACACTTCCTCTTCAGTAGGAAATTGCCTGTGAGGGTAAAAGATTGAAAAAAATCAATTAATGTCATGAAAACACAATTTTATCAAAGATTCAAACCTACAATGAACTATGGATTAAGAAATGTTAAATAAGATGAATGTATATGATTCACTGTGACCTGCCTCTCCTCCAGAGTGATTGGTACCTACCCGCAGATTTTTTCACGTGCCAGCTCTAACGGTTCTATGGGATACTGCTCGACATCATGTCTCTGATAATTATCTCGTAAATTCTCACCAAACTGTTCAGGGGTCAATCCAAACTTTTCAGCAATATCATCTGCAGAAGAAAAGGACTTGCATCAACTAATCCAGGGTAACATAAAGCTGATTATTCCAACAATAATTAAAAAGATAACAAGATTTTGGTTTTTTATAGTGGAAAAAAATTTATTGTTTTCATGACTCAACCTAGTTGTATCCAATTACAATAATTTGACCTAGTTGTATAATTGACCTTAGTTGTATAACTGACCTATTTTCTTTTCCTGACAGATGTTGTAGCCAGTTTTTCTGGTGGCATGTTTGATGGTATCTGTCTGTTCGATGTCTGGTTCTGGCTCCGCCTCCCCGTCTTCTCTCTCCCCCTCAGACTTTTTCTTCGTCTGAGCCATCTTCATTTTGGGTATGTCCATGCCGTAATACAGAAGGAAGTGTTGATAGACGTCTTTGAGCTCCTCCATAGTCTGGACATTTCTAACTCTACAAGAGAATCAAAACAGAAGCTGACTTAAAATCTTGCCATTAGAGAAATGATACATGTACGTATCTGAGGAGTGATCTGACCAATATATTGCTATAAATTGTGCCATTTTCTTTGGTTAGTAGCTAACATAATTATGAGACTGAATCTTCTCACAATTAGTTAAGTCTAGTGCAATTCTTACTCCATCCCTGACATCATGAGGCTCTGCCTGTGTAAATCTCATTTTCGATATTAGATACAGTTTAGACTAGTAACTCCTTGACACCCACGCTAACCTGTCTAAAACTTAATGTGGACATTTAATAGACTTTTTTTCCCAGTAACTCATCTATACCTACACTAACCTGTCTAAATCTTCGTCTGTTAATGGTCGTATATTGGACTCCAGCACTTTATCAGGGTCTGAGTTTGTGTCAAACTGATAATTCTGCATTTTCTCAAACAACTTGATCAAGTTCTGCTTCCTTGTTCTCAGCTGAGTCCACTGATTTGATAAATTTTGATAAATTTGATAAACAGCTGATTCAATATCTATATGTTAATGATTCTGTACTTTAAATTTGGTAAACTGTGTTACGGTGTAAAACCGATTCAATGCATATGATAGTACTTAATATTTGATTTAAGTTTGCTGATCTTTGTTTTGATGCATTATTTTGTAATATTTGTGTTACCTTTTCATCCCACTGCCAAACTTTCCATAGGTCATTTATATTAAGGTCTGACTCAACATACTCTTTTCTGTAGAAAGCAATGAAAGGGACCTACAAAAAAAAACACAACAGATCTTCACATGGTAAAAAAATAATCAAAAGGGAACTAAGAAAAACAACCAAGAAAACTTAATTACACAATTTAAGACTTGTTTCTATATGTAAATGTACATACTGCATAAACAATTGTACATTTTATTCAAGAGTTGAAAAATTACAACAGTGTCGTTCAAAGAATTTCATGTGTAGGTTTGCCTTGCTAGTCAATGTCTGTTTGTAAATGAAAATGATTTTATAATAAGAGTTAAATCTACAAATTCCCATTTATATGTATAATGAAATATCATGTTACAGATGTTAAACTCTTAGATTGTGTTGTAATTATTGTTTTCATGGGAACACACACAAGAATATATTAAATGGCCAACCTCTAGATGCTGATTCCTCATGAAGTCGATGGCCTTCTTGATTTTATTAATCATACTTGGTCCCCGACGATTGTACGTTCCTGACTCTTGTTCCAGTAAGTTCTATAATTAACACAATTACATGCACATGTACTTCAGCAACAAACACAGAGTACAATTTTCCACTGATGTAACTAACTTTAGCATAATTTTTTTTACAGTTAACTACAGTGCAAATTTAATTTAGATTATGATAAGGTTAACATGATTTGAACAAATCTTTAAATCAAAAAAATATTGTAAATTACTTTTTTATGTGCAAGAATTTTACACATTATAACAATCTGGGTGTAAAGATTGCCTATTTAAATCTAAACCACTCCTAAAATTCCTTAATCTCCACATCGTTTGTTAATTTCTTAGTGTAGAGATGGCCATTTAAATACATATATGTACACCCCTAAAATTCTTTGATCCTCTCACCTGTTGTGACACACTGGGTGTGGAGAATGCCTGTTTATAGATCCATTCTGATTCCTCCTCCACTTCTCCCTCCTCTGTTGGTTTGACTGGGACCTGTCGCAGCTGAAATCGCTCAGGCATGTCTGTCACCCGAATCTCATTATCCTGGTCAGTGAAGAACCCTCGCTCAATTTCTGATGGTTCAAAAGCCTAAAGAAAACAAGTGAATCACAATTGTTTTGTGTACCGATGGTTAATTTTTCATTACAACAATCACTTGTGTGTATTTGAAATAAGAGGCTATAAATGTGTGACCTTTCAAATGATCTTTCTTTCTTTTGTAATGTTTTACCGGTATTTATCTCTCAGACCCATTTTCACCAGCCAAAGTTAATGATCTGCTCCTCTGTGTCTCCTCACTTTTGGCTAGTGAAGACAGTACAGTCCATGGTTGGTGTATATTGAAAATGAGACCCTATAATGCCTTACCTCATATATAGTTTTTTTCTGGCTCTTTTTCTTGCTTCCTTTTTTTGGTCTCTGTCTCCCTTCTTCTTCTTCACCTTCTTCAATGTACTAAAAAAAAATTCAAACAGTAAACATAAATAAACAACTGTGTTATTATGCTTTACATAAATAAACAAATGTGTTATCATGTTGTATGTAAAGTACATACACGTAAATGACCTCCTATTTTAAGCTGTATATAAACAATCAATATGTTGTATATAAATAAACAAGAATGCTACTATGCTGTACGTAAACATAATGCTGAATGATACACAAAACTCCATGATACTGTAGAATTTGTGTGTGTATGTGTGTTTGGGGGGGGGGGGGGGGGTAATTTTCCTGGAATACTAAAAATTCACAAGCCCTAGGGCCCTAATTTCCTTGAAAAATGTCTGTTTGTGAGAGATAATGCTTGTATACATGTATTAATATCAAAATTTGTAAGTTCTGGGTAATTGGTTACCACAAATTCACAAAGAGAGAAATTGAACCCCAACAAAATATAACAAGAAAACATTGATGTAATCATCAATTGTCGCCCGGGAAATAAATAAAGTAAACAATGGAAATGAGTCTTGATCATCAAACCGCTTCGATATGTGTGAAAAAGGCATGCGTCTAAATGATTGAGACGATAGTCGAGAATATTTTGAAAACTTATAGTCGGATGAAAATCGAACAAAAACTATACCCTTTTAAACTTTATCAATTCCTCAAGTAAATGTTGGCTGCATAAAATATAATTTGAAACCAGACACATGCATCACCTATTTTCAAAAATGTCTTTCACCTTAAGAATATAAAACACGAGCTGTGTAAAGTACGTTTTTATGCTATAAGTGAAATTCGATGTTCTAAAAAAAGGGACCTGTCGTTTTTTCGATAGTAAATGATAAGCAACTTTATATATTAAATATGAAGTCTGTATATATTTTTACAGATTCACTTTATGGAAGTAAATATATTGTGTATCTCGTAATTTATAAAGGGAAAGAACATTCTGATTAACAATCTTTTTAATGTTTAGAAAACCTTCAATTCTGAATAACTTCTCCCACCTCAATCCCCATATACCAACACTTAAACTTATATGTATAGAGCAGCCCGGTCCTCCGGGCTGCAATGAGTCCATAGTATTGTACACAGATACACAAAAATGATGTCATACAGTATAAAAAACGGATCAAAATTATTGTCTAAGATTGACTCTGATTTCTGAACAACTTACATCATCATCATCTTCAAATTCGTCTTCCTCTCCATAACCAAACTCATCAAAATCAAAGTCCACCCCAAAGATGTCCTGGGCCTCTTGTAATGCACTATGATATAAACAATAAATCTGTAGAATAATTTCAATGTTTTTTTTTTGTTTTTACTATTTTTAACATGTTTTCCTTTCAAAATCAGATGACCCTCACCTGAACTCTTCTATCCAAAGATACTTAGTTGAAAAGTGATTCCTCTTATTTTACATTTATATAAGACTTCTTTAACTTCCTGTACGTTTGTAATAATTTTGTTGCATCCTATTGGCAGTTTCATGGTGAGTATATTTGAAAGAAGGTAAGACAAAATGAAATATTAGTGCTGTGGATGACAGACAACAGAAACACTGGGATGGGTGGGAGAGGGGGATTTAGTGGAAGCCGTGATAATTGATACAATGTGAATAATGTGGAAGATGACAGGACAACTTACGAGTCAGAGTGAATTATATGTTTCTTTTTCTTCAGTCTGTTCTTAATTGGTTCCCCATTTTCATCAACAATGAAATTATCCATGTCTAAAAAAAAAAAAATAGTTTTCGCAAATATCCTCTCAGAGTTGGCAAAAGTGAATTTATTTTAATCATGTCTTTAATATTTGACTCTTCTCTTTCATTGCATTCTAAATACTGTATCTGAAACTTAAAATGTTTCTAAAATTATTACATACATGTAATTATCTACAAATTACACTGTAACACATTAATTGAATAATTTACACTGTAATGCATTAATATACGTGTAACTTAGACTGTAAAGCATTAATATATGTGTAATATACCGTCTTCATCCTCTTCTTCATCCACATCCAGGCTGTCAAACTCATTAGCGACTCTCTCCCGTGGGGCCTCAGAATCATCAGCCTCTCCATCAAACAGTTCGTCGGCCAGTGCATCCCTCTCTCGCTCCTCGTTCATTTCCTCTTTATCAGAATCCTCCTCGTCTGACACCATGCGGATTCTCTTCAACTTTGGCTTAAAAAAATACAGAAAAAAAAACACTGATTAGTATCACAGTGTTTCATATCACTTTGGTACAAAGCTCAACAATCTTAGTAATTTAGCTTTATCAGGGTTAGGGTTAGCAGAAAACAGAATAGTCACTTGTTAAATTCAGTGTTTTACATCACTTTGGTACAAAGGCAGCTAAACAATATCAATATTTTGGCTCTATCAATTCTACAGAGATTATATTCTAAATGTATTTGTCTTTCCGTATCATTTAAAACTGACAAGCACACACTCTTTCTCTCTTCACTTCCTTCTTTTTATTTAAAAGCTATTTTAAGACTGGATGGAAAAGATACAATACAGCATGTGTACCTTAAACAGTAAAGGTGTTAGATGCTTTGTCCTCAACACTGTTATTTCTGACACTCACCTTTCTCTTGACCTTAACCCCCAAATTTTCCTCAATAAGGTCGTAATCTTCATCCTCTAGCTGATCGTCCGACTCGGAGTCCTCGTGTTTTCGTTTCCCGGACTCACTCCCCGACTCATCACCCTCCTCTTCTTCTTCTTCATCGTCCTCGTCTTTGATGAAGCCCTCCATTTCTTTTCTTATCTGTTCCTCTATACATAGAAAAAAAAGTTCATATGTTGAACCTTTCACATATCTAATTGATGGACAACTAAAAAAAAACAAAAAAACACTTGAGATCACTTAGGAAAATTTCATTTTATTAAACTCTACTTCATTACGTTGAAGGACCTTTATTTTTTTCTATCTATATATTTTGTACCTGTAACTAAGTGAAAAATTACTTCTGTAATAATGGCAAATGGCACCATTATAAAATGTTTAAAAGAGGGTGGGTCAAAGAAACAGTAATGATGTGTGTTATTAAACAAGTAACTGACAGGAAAAAAACCCAGAGTTTTACCCATGTAATATAGGATGTGTTGAAAAAGAGGAATAATGATAAAATAAACTATATTTAATGGCAAAGTATGTAACAAATGCACATGTAGAAAGAAAATGTCTGCTTTAACTACAAGATGATAAAAAGTAAAATCAATCAAATTTTATCTTAAACTGGAGGAGATATCTCCTTCTGCACTCCTGTAGTAACATAATCTTTGTAAATTTCTCTCATATCTTGGTGAAGCTACACCACTGACGCTTATAAGAGTGTGTTCCAGTGTTTTCCCTAAAAACACGCTACCAACCAAATTGACCGCTTCAATTAATAAAAATACCGCTTTGAAATAATAAAAAAAAATCAAAATTTCAGTGTTGTAATGTCCACAGAGATTTATCATAAACTTCAACCCAAAGCCTGTTACAACTGACCCTAACCCTATACTTTGAAATAAAGGGAAAACACTGGTGTTCATTAAGGGTGCAACTATAAATCGTTTGACGGTATATCGCGGTTTATTTTTCCACGGTTCAATTCACGATACGCTAAACTGATATCACGGTTCGGTTCAATCAGTCCAGAATTATCCGTTTTATTTCCTTTTTTTACTATTTCAAAATGACTTCCGCGCAAAACATGATGTCGCCGTTAACACATTTACAGCAGTTAAACTCATCTCCAGCATCTTACAGACCTCAGATTTAACACGGAGAAGGACTTAATGTGATTATAAGTTATAGGTGTTAAGACAAATGATAAACCCTTTAGATCTGAACGTATTCTTTGGTAATACACGATATTTCATCACGGTGTGTATTTCGATGAAAATTCGCTGTCTTGTTGACTAAATCGTATTAACAAGAGAAATATGACAACTGGTTTTCTACGTAAATAAAAGGAATAAAAAAATGAATGTCTTCCTTTTTCATTCCAATTTAAAAGGAAGATTATTAGGAAAGGTCCCCGTAGTTCCCTGTAAATGTTCATTATTGGTTTAGAATGTTGTCACAACTCAAAGATCTACCTAACAATCCAATTCAAGTTAACAAAATTTATCTTAATTATTAAATTAAAAAAAAATTAACATTTTGTATAAGCCTGTCAAGTTTAAAAAAATAAATGATGACAAACTTGAAAGACCTTTAACCTTGTCATGTATCGTGATATGTATCGTATCATGAACTGAATACCGTGATACGTATCGTATTGTGAGGTTAGTGTATCGTTGCAACCCTAGTGTTCATTAGGGTAAGCCAATTATTACCATATAGTCAACTGATGAACTGTATGGTAAACAAGGAACGGCAAACTATTAAGCTTGACTACAACAGAAATAATACCATCTTCTTCTTCTTCCTCCTCATCCTCTTCGCTGTCAGAGATGATTTGTCGGCTTTTCTTTTTCGATTTTTTCTTCGACTTTGATTTCGTTCCTGAATCACTCCCTGACCCTGAGGCATCTGATCTTACTTCGTCATCAGAGTTGACGTCAGATTCCTCGGCCTGGTCCTCCATGAAATCCATGATTGAGGACCTTTGTCTAAAACGTAAATTAGAAAATAACCTTCTGGTCATTCTCTCCGTGTTCTAACTGAATTCAGTATGTGGTATAAATACAGATATATGTGGCATAAATACAGCTGTATTATTAAACTTTCTGCCACTTACTTCTTAAAAATACACGGATGTTTAGCACTTTTGTAATTATATTCTACCAAATTCTGACGTTTATTAACAATAATATGATTGAGGTTCGAAAAAACAAGACTTCATTTTCTCATCCTGAATATTCATCATTTCTTTCAATTTAAATAGCATCATCAAACCTCAATCTAAGATTTCATTATAATGAAGCAATAACATAAAATTACCACTTTACTCCACTAGAAAACAAGCGTTTTTTTTAAAAAGCACGCAAAATAGTCTTCCTACAACTTTCTTTCAATATTGCAGTCTTGCAGAGTTTATTTACTAAATTCTCATTGGACAATATTAACGGGTGCGTCGATTTACCCAAATGGAACCAAATGGACCCAAATGGAACCCAAATGGAAATGCAAATGGACCCAAATGGAAATCAAATGGACCCAAATGGAATATTAAACATATATTATTGTATTTTCAAGTAGTTACTTATTTAAAATGATGAAAATAATGAACTTGCAAATGGAGAATATTAATTATTCATTTCTATTATTGTATTTAAAAAAAAACGAATTAATCTTTATTTCTATTTGTAATAACTTTTGCATATCATTGTATACAAAACTGAAGTATTTCATATTAAAGTTTATATAGAATTCATGGCAGGAGGAACCAGGGTGGGGGGTGGGGGGGGGGGTACGGGGCCTGTGCCCCCCTCCCCCAATAATTTTGCTGATCTAAAGAATACTAAAGAAAATTAATTCGTATTTTTAAAATACAATATTAGAAATGAATACTAAATATTCTCCATTTGTAAGTTCATTATTTTCATTTTAAATAAGTAACAACTTGATAATACAATAATACATATTTCTATTTGTATATTTAATATTCCATTCGGTTTCCATTTGGGTCCATTTGATTTCCATTTTGGTCCATTTTGATTTCCATTTGGGTCCATTTGGGTTCCATTTGGGTCCATTTGGGTAAATCGACGTACCGATATTAACTTCCGGTGAATTTGTTTACGTTTTCTTTGCAGACTGACACTGCGACGGTAAATGAGTGATGTAAGCCATTATGTCTAGAATTATTTCTTTTAATCGTGTCTTTTCATGCGGGAAATATAAACCATGTAACAAAAAGTATTGCACAGCAGCGGAGAAAAAGCATGCCACGCGGGGAAGAGAAAACGGAATCGAAAAACATGCCACCTTTGCCTCAGCGAAAATAGGACCCTTTTTCCAAAGTCCACCGAAAGTAGAAAACCAGTATACTGGAGACGCAGTTCTTCAATCATATGTAAAAAGATTTATTCCTAATCAGGTATATTGACAGATTGACTTATCAGTGTCGGAGGAATTCTCATAATTGGATTTTTTTTTTTGGGGGGGGGGGGTTATTTTCTATAGAGATACGACTATGCAGCATAATGCCTGCCCATATCTCTAAAGAAAAACATCTTCCCAGTCAAGGGTTACTGATCTGCTCCGCTTGACACCAGGAACCCTTTACTTGGGAAGACAAAGAAAGAAGGAGGGGTAAATTTTTCAGTAACGTACGTATTACGTAAAACAATGGGATCGTACCTGGTCAATTCCAGGGTTTGGGGTGTTCAACATTAATTGATTTGGAATAGTTGGTATGATGTTAGTGGACTGCTGAAATATACTAATATGTCCTAACCTTATCTAGGTTAACAATAATCAAATGGTAAATCACTATAATAATCAGAGGCAAACTATAAATGATTGATACAAGAGACCAGTTGCCCTCAGATTATCGCATATACTATAGAATGCCTTATTCAGGACGTATAGTATATGTGGTAGCCTTTCAACCACTACACTCATTGTAGGATGCCTTATTCAGAACGGACAATGAGTATTGCAGACTAGATGTACTGGTCAGCCAATGCAGACAAGACAAAACAAACTATGGCTAGCCTCCATATTGGAGGTCAACCTTGCTTGTGGCAGGCCTTAACTGGTTTGACCTGCCAAATTCTCTAACTGTAAAAGAGGCGAGGAATATTAAACGTGAATACTTTATTCACTACACTTGTCTTCTATCCTTGGCTGCATCCGAAGAACAACTACAAACTACGCGGAGTCTCAGTATTTATACACAACTGATGTCACATGATGTAAACAGTGACTAATTGAGAACTCCGCATGGTCGTATCTTAAAATTCCGGAATAATTACAATATAGCTACAGGATTAAAATAAAAAACCAGAAAAAGGTACAGTGAGGCTTGCCACCACAAAAGCTCTTCTGAAAAATTCTTAATCCATTGAAAGTGGTGATCATGTTTGATCTTAGCATCCTATAGATAAAGCCTATGGGAGAAATATATATTGATAAGATTTTAAGTTTTATATTAATAACACAATATTGGGATCATGGTTCATATCATGCAGTCATTGCAGTCTTATAATAGGAATAAAATGCAACAGACCAGACCAGGATTTGAACCTGAACTCTTCAGTTACTTAAGGTACTTAAGCTATCTGACACCAGCAAAAGACACAATCCTTAAATTCCTCTATTGAGTCTTTTCATTCTAAAGACACCAATCCAGGTTCATCTCTGGCAGGTCTTACACTTGTCACTTTCAGGGTTGGAACAGCCCCAGATGTAACAGGAAGGGAGTAATTGTGATGGTCCAGACCAGGTTTTGAACCAGATTCTCAGAACTCTAGACTGGAGGTCTACAAACTGAGCTTTTTGACCTCCAACCTTAGAACCTGCCAAATCACCATACCTGCAAAAACATTAATTTTGGAATCTAACAATTTCATAGTGTCCCAGTCGTATTTATTTGCTACTCCTTTTTATAATAAACAAGGCAAACAGCTGTTGGGTTCAATTTATATATTTTTCAATTTCATGGTAAGACTAAAAAGGTGACCTGTAACAATAACAGTAATGAAAACAAGATGTGTTTGTGAAACACTGATGCCCCCGTATGGCAGCTTATGGCGAAGGTTAAAGTTTCTCAAATGCAAGTCAAAATCCAGGCCAAAAGATAAAAAATGTTAAATTTGAAAGCCTTAGCTGCAACTGTTCAATAGTTATGGCGAAAGTTAATTTTTTTAAAAGTAAGTAAAACATCAAGGTCAAGGTTAAATTTGTTGGTATCCAAAGGAAGGTCTTGTCACAAGGATTACATATGTAAAGTATGAAAGCCCTGGCACCAACCATTCAAAAGTTATGGCCAAGGTTAAAGTTTTTCAAAAGTAGGTCAAACTCCTAAGTTAAGGTCAAAGGGTCAAAGTGGTTGGTATCCAAAGGAAGGTCTTGTCACAAGGATTACATATGTGAAGTATGAAAGCCCTAGCACCAACCATTCAAAAATTATGGCCAAGGTTAAAGTTTTTCAAAAGTAGGTCAAACTCCCAGGTCAAGGTCAAAGGGTCAAAGTGGTTGGTATCCAAAGGAAGGTGATGTCACAAGGATTACATATGTGAAGTATGAAAGCCCTAGCTCTAACCATACAAAAGTTATGGCCAAGGTTAAAGTTTTTCAAAAGTAGGTCAAATTCCAAGGTCAAGGTCAAAGGGTTAAAGAGGTTGATATCCAGAGGAAGGTCTTGTTACAAGGAATACACATGTGAAGTTTGAATCCCCAAGCACCAACTGTTCAAAAGTTATGGCCAAGGTTTCAAAAGAAGGTCAAACTCCAAGGTCAAGGTCAAAAGGTCAAAATGGTTGGTATCCAAAGGAAGGCCTTGTCACAAAGAATACAAATGTGAAGTTTGAAACCCCAAGCACCAACTGTTCAGAAGTTATGGCCAAGGTTAAAGTCTCATAAAATTTTGCAAAAGTGGGTCAAACTCCAAGGTCAAGGTCAAAAGGTCAAATATGATGGTACCCAAAGAAAGGTCTTGTCACAAGGAATACACATGTGAAATATGTAAGTCATAGCTCCAACCAATCAAAAGTTATGGGCAAGGTTAAAGTTGACAACAGACAAACAGATAAACAGACAAACAGACAAACAGACAGATAGGACAAAAACAATATAACCCTGGGATCTTTCGATCCGGGGGCATAATAAATGAATACACTCTCATACCTATACATTCACACATTAAATTACTTTAGTATATTTTAGCTTTTCTGTTATAATTATCTTTAAGTGGATAATTATATTATAATATCATTAATTATCTAGAGCAACGGTGGTAAAAGTTCTTACTGAATAGGCAGTTAAATTGTCCACATTATAAAATGGAAGACTTTGTGGAGTAGGAAAGAAATTCTTCCTTACTCCTGGCTGTCCTAGGGTGGAGTGAATTAGTTAGGGTATTTGGCGCCAAGCATGCGCACCTGATACCAAACTAGTAAAACCACTCACACACTTCTCACTCTAAAATATCAACCAATCATACCACTCCAAGCCTCACCCATTTTGACACAAACACCTTTGACCTTTCACACTCCTAATTCCACCAATGAGCATTCAACCCAATGAATATGAATGAGATATTTTATGAATGAACACATGGTAAATTCCAGAGGACTGTAATTTACTATGCTTTTATAGATGAAAATGATGATGAAGATAATGAAATGATGATTAGTGATTAGGTCACTAAATATTCAATCATACATATACTATTTATTAGTCCCCTACCGGTGAAACCGGAGGGGACTATAGGTTTCCTCTGAGTCTGTCCGTCCGTCTGTCCGTCCGTCCGTCTGTCTGTCTGTCCGTCCGTCCGTCTGTCTGTCTGTCCCTCTGTCTGTCAGTCTGTCCCATTTGGTTTTCCGCACTTTTTTCCTAAACGCTTGCAGATATTGAGCTGATTTTTGGTATGTGAGCGTATCTTGATGAGTTACAGATCAAGTTTGCATTTCGTTCCGCTTCATTGATTTTTGACGGAATTACGGCCTTTTCAATTTTTACGGGTTTTCCACAATTTTCTTTCAAACGCTTGTAGATATTGAGCTGATTTTTTGTATGTGGCTTTACCTTGATTAGTTATAGATCAAGTTTGCATTTCGTCCCGCTTCATTAAATTATGGCATTTTCAATTCTTAACGGGAACAGAACCAGATTACACCTGCCGGTAGGGGACTAGTATTGCTAATGCAATACTCTCACAATGCTTGTTAGAATAATAATTTATTCACCCTGTGACATTAGTTTAGTGGATGAGATAATTTGACTCAAGATCAACTTTACACCTGCAACAAAAACAAATATGTAAAAATAGAATGTTTCAGTTCTATAAAAGGTGATCAAACAATTTATTATACATGTAACCAACAAAGAGAAAAATGGGAAGGACTAGACCAGGATTCAAATCTGGACTCCCTGACTCCTTAGTCAGGAGATCTGCTAATTAACTGAGCTATCTGGCCACCAGGGATTGAACCTTCCTGGCTACCACATAGCAAAGACTTACCAGTTGACGAATGCATCTTTATTTCATATTCATAGTGACTATCAACTTTTGAAAAAATAAAGTTTTCAACTGACCCTTCTTTTTCAGATTTGTTAGCTTTAAAAATTTACAAACTATTACTTTTCCATGAGTCTGATATCATGATATCAAACAAATCCAGGGACTATAAGGAATTGTGTAAAATTGTATTGCATGCAATTACATTATAATATTTTTCTTTTTTTCTGTTGTCTGTCATTTGATTTCTTATTTTGACTATATACCAACATGGTGATGTCAATAAATTGAATTATATTTCTAATTTAAATCAGGAGTTATATGCCAAATGTAATTATCATAAAAGAAAAATGTAGCAATGAGATGTATAACTAAAGACCTGAGGCACTGCTAGCCTGATCATGATGATGAGGTAAACGTCACTGTATTTCAGATTCGAGAACCCATTGAGACAGACTTGATCCGATTTGGAGAGAGAGTTGCGACAGAGATCTACGAGCTTGGGCTACAATGTGAGCGGGAGCCTCCCCAGCTGATTCAGTATGATGCCTGGGGAAATCGTGTCGACAGATTAATTACAAGTCCAGCGTGGAAACGACAGCACGACATCGCAGCAGAGGAGGGACTCATTGCAACAGCTTACGAAGAAAAATATGGAGAGTGGAGGTACCTCTTTGTTTCAATAGACTTCAACGGAGACAACAGGAAGTGTTTCTGAATATACCAATACTCTTGAGTGTCAGATATACAGAAAACATATTTTTGAATCAGATGTTAGGCATTTTATGGTCAGTACTTCACTCACATGTCACCATATGTATTAAGAATATTTAAAAATCTTTTAATTTAATACCATTTCAATAAACTTAGTAAAGAAGGAGCCTTAGATTTTGGTACCCAAGGGATAAGTTTACTCTGACTATAAAGACAAATTAGAGTAGCTAATGTTAGACAATGAAGCTGTTTCTTTATTGTACATTTCAGTCGTCTTTATCAGATAGTGAAGCTGTTCCTTTATTCCCCCTCCTCAGGACTTTACTCCTGTCCTCTGGCTATGACAGATGGAGCAGCACGACTCATTAAGGTAAATCTGTGATGTGTACTGATTCTGACTATGACTGATGGAGCAGCATGGCTCATTAAGGTAAATCTGTGATGTGTACTGATTCTGACTACAACTGATGGAGCAGTGTGACTCATTAAGGTAAATCTGTGATGAGTACTGGTTCTGGCTATGACTGATGGAGCAGCACGACTCATCAAGGTAAATCTGTGATGAGTACTGGTTCTGGCTATGAATGATGGAGCAGCACCACTCATTAAGGTAAATCTGTGATGTGTACTGATTCTGACTACAACTGATGGAGCAGTGTGACTCATTAAGGTAAATCTGTGATGAGTACTGATTCTAGCTATGACAGATGGAGCAGCATGGCTCATTAAGGTAAATCTGTGATGAGTACTGGTTCTGGCTATGACTGATGGGGCACTTTAACTCATTAAGGTAAATCTGTGATGTGTACTGATTCTGACTACAACTGATGGAGCAGTGTGACTCATTAAGGTAAATCTGTGATGAGTACTGATTCTAGCTATGACAGATGGAGCAGCATGGCTCATTAAGGTAAATCTGTGATGAGTACTGGTTCTGGCTATGACTGATGGGGCACTTTAACTCATTAAGGTAAATCTGTGATGTGTACTGATTCTGACGATGACTGATGGAGCAGCATGACTCATTAAGGTAAATCTGTGACATGTATTGATTCTGGCTATGACTGATGGAGCAGTGTGACTCATTAAGGTTAATCTGTGATGTGTACTGATTCTGACTATGACTGATGGAGCAGTGTGACTCATTAAGGTAAATCTGTGACGTGTACTGATTCTGACTATGACTGATGGAGCAGTGCGACTCATTAAGGTAAATCTGTGATATGTACTGATTTTGACTATGACTGATGGAGCAGTATGACACATTAAGGAAATCTGTGATGAGTACTGATTCTGACTATGACTGATGGAGCAGTGTGACTCATTAAGGTAAATCTGTGATGAGTACTGATTCTGAGTATGACTGATGGAGCAGTGTGACTCATTAAGGTAAATCTGTGACATATACTAATTCTGGTGTATTTTAAGAATTTACTGTGACTGCCAGCTATATTTTGTCCACAATTTGGAATTCTTATCCAGCAACAACATTACATGGCAGACACCATCTCAAAATTAGGAATCGTTTTTCGTGTGTGTAAGTCTCTCAAATTATGGTTTTTGACAAATTTAAAAAATTATTTCTCAGGGTTGTTACTGTGTTTGGACCCTGTTCCCTGTTTATGACTTTGATTAACCAGAGATACTTTTTCACACAGATGGTAACAAAACTGTTAAGTAATACTGAAATTATAATTTTGACAGCAATTGCCATCCACTTACTCCTGGGTCAAGGATTGTGCTTACTCTCATTTGACCTCTCGTGACCCGACCCAATTCTGGACTTCTGGTCAGTGGATGACAGAGAGAAGGGGTGGATCTGATGTAGGTGGGTCAGGTTATCAAAAAAAAAAAAAAAAAATGAAGTAAAATGAAAGATTTCATCGGAAATGTTATATAAATTGTGCTATAAGGACATTCAGATATTTTGAACTTTGACCTGAGATTGTATAAACAGAAAAATGGGGTTGTTTTCAAATTTTGCAGGCATAATTCATTATTGCTGATGAAGTCCTTATGAATTCAACAAAGAAAGAATTCATGACATGAATTTTATTATTATCACATTAGACTTTATGAAGTCATCAAATTTTAGCCTCAGGAACAGAAACTATTGCTGTACCTCAGGGTGATGGAAGTTATCGTCTCCATGGCTACAAGTGGTTCTCCTCGGCAACAGATGCCAACATGACCTTAACACTGGCCAGAGTTCAAGGACAGGATGGAAGTATCACACAGGTATGGGAGATTAAGTGATTTTACTGTTGTCATTGGTTTTTCTGTAGAGAACAAGGAGACTGAGTGATTTTACTGGTCTTTGTTGTTTTTCTAAAGGGAACAAAGGGGCTGAGTTTGTTTTACTTGGAAGTTTTTGATGACCAGAAGAAACTCAACAACATACAAGTTGAAAAGATGAAAAATAAACTGGGAACACGACAGCTGCCAACAGCAGAATTACTTTTGGATGGAGCTGTGGCCTACAGGGTATAAGTCTCATCTATGCTGATATCTAGCAGTAAAAAGAGTAGTATTTTGGAGAGAATACAAAATGAAATAAAGAAAAAAATACATAATGTATAAAGAATAAAATTAATATACTTCTAAATGTTTAATCTGTTATTTTTAGCATTTCTATTGTAACAACACCTTCGTTTGAGCAATTAACTATAGAATTACCTGCAGTCATCTTCGCTAGCCAAGGGTGACGATCCGCTCCTCTCTTCTTTTCAAAAAAGAAAAGAGAGGAGCAGATCATCACCCTTGGCTAGCGAAGATGACCTGCAGTAGACGTCCCCTAAAGATTAGCTTGTATGTCAGAACTGAATCACTGCATATGATAGTAATGCAGGGATTTAGGAAGCATATATTCAACACAGAGTTAAAAAAATATGTAATGCTTCTATGGTAAGAGGGCTAATATAAAGCGTTAGAGAAAACGTGCCTGTCTTTAGACCACACCTTTGTCATGCATGAATAGCACAGGTTTGAAGAAAGGATTGTATTTTCTTTACTCAATGCACAGAGAATCTTATTTTAGATATCAGAGGAGGGGAGGGGTGTTACAGGGATATCAAACTTAACCGTTCTAGTACAAAGTGATTTTTGTTTTAGATATCAGAGGAGGGGAGAGGTGTTACAGGGATATCAAACTTAACAGTTCAAGTACGGAGTGATTTTTGTTTTAGATATCAGAGGAGGAGAGGGGTGTTGCTGGGATATGAAACTTAACAGATCTAGTACAGAGTGATTTTTGTTTTAGATATCAGAGGAGGGGCGGGGTGTTGCAGGAATCTCCAACATGTTGACAATCAGTAGAATCCACAATGCTTTGTCATCAGCCTCTGGAATGAGAAGGTAATGCTCACACAACCATATAAGCAGGTCATATTTTCTGAAATTTTCAAATAATATTATCTCTTTATTTCAGAATTTTAAGTATGGCGAGGGATTATTCCACCAGGAGGACAGCCTTTGGTGATTATCTGAAGAATTACCCCCTCCATGTTCAGACTCTCGCTCGGATGGAGGTGGAGGTACGTGCTGCCACTCTACTTGTGCTGGAGGTGGCTCGACTGCTTGGGAGGGAGGATACTGGAATAGCCAGTGATCAGGAGTCTCTTTTACTAAGATTGCTTACTCCCCTGGCCAAACTGTACACTGCTAAACAGGTATAATTGCTTGTAGTTAAAGCTGAACACTATTCATAAATAGGTGCCACTGTCACACAGGTATTTAAACCTTTCGATTTTTTTAAACCCAATTGCACTTTTGAAACTTGTGGGTGGACGTATAGTATTTCTTTCATGGTCTTAGACATTGTGCATTTTTTCCTTGATTTATGTGCATTTTCTGTTTGTAAATAATGCATTGACTTGTATATTTGATGTTGCTTTTCTCTTAGCTCGGAAAAAGTGCGTAAAATTTTATAATTTCGTCACGACTGAGTACTGTAGATTCCTAAATATATGCGAGGAATTAATTAACGTGTAATTACGCGAGGAGCACCACTAGCGAAATAAAATTACTCGCTTTTATTTTTATGGTGTTGAAATTAATGTTGAATCTCATTGTAAACCATCCATTCGCGAATTATTGTTCTCGTGATTTGTCGTGTAAGAGCAATTCGTGATATTAAGTACTCGCGTAAAATAAGGAATTTACAGTAACATGGCATGGTAAGATGTACGTCTACACGGGTGAGACCTCTACAGTGAAATACTTTGAACTGTTAAGTACAGGTCCACCTAACAATCAGGCAGGAGGTGATACATGGGGTTCTCAGAAATTAATGATTTTTCACTCACAGTTTTTTCTTGGGCTATAAGACATGTATGTGGAAGGAAAAATATTTGGGGTCATTGTTACTATGGAAACCTGGACAAAGAAATTTCCCTAGCAACCGGCCAATTTTTTCTTTGTAGATTGACAAAATTTCACTCATTTTGAAGGCTTTATACAAAATGTAAAAAGAGTAATTTTTTCTTATCTAGTGTAATAAGAAAGATACACGTTTAAAGTGTTCTGTCAATGTAATCAAAAGAAATTACATTCTCTTATATATGTGCTATAGAGACAGGTAAAGATACATGTTTCCCATTTTTTGCTGATTCAGCATTTTGCTTGATTTTAGCAAAAATCAAGTCGATATTATTCATTTCACCATCTTAATACAATTGTTCCATCTATTTCCTGTAAAACCACAGGAAGGCCTCTCTAAGAATGTGAAATAAAAAGTTTTGCAAATTTGAAAATCCTATCTGTTGCTAGGCAACAAAAATGGATGGTTTGATAAATTTAAAAATGGGGAAAATGTAAAGCACTGGAAGAAATATCGGATGAATTGTAATCATAAAACAAATTTTAAAATAATAAAATATAAAATAATCTTCCTTGTATACTAAAGACTATTTTACAATAAGCTATCTCCATGGCAACAGCAAATTTTCCTTAGCAACGAAGCATTGAAAGTTATTTTTAGCACATATTCATCTTAGTTTTTAATAGATTATCTGATTCTAATAATTGAATTGCTATTGTCCAGAATAGACATTGTCAAACTGGTTATTTAAAAGTATTTTCAAGTTAATTCATCCATAGCAACAGAACTTGTCCACATAGCAACAAATGCATTTATTAAGAATCAGTATGTAGCAATTCCTCAACAAAAATCTGTGTCTTTAAGGATGTTAACTAGGCAAAAACATTCTACTTATAGAAATGAAAAATCATTTACTTGACTTATGACTGTGGTATTTTTTTTTTACACTTTCAAATGGTAAATCAATGACCTACTTTTCATGCTAGTGGCCTATTGAAACTCGAGAGTCTTAAAATTTTTTGCAAATTCCTGAAAATTTAGCATCATGACCAATATTTGCAACGAAAACTGGATAGTCTAATTTCTGACAAGTCTAAAAAATACAGTAATCTCGTTAAGAAAAAAAAGACTTTTGATGAGGTCTTCTTGTGAGAATGCAGACCTGGTGAGGAATTGATTGACCGAGGCCAAAGGCTGAGGTTAATCAGTTCATGACAGAGTCCGTATAGTAACAAGTAGGCAGAATTCAGAAGTCATTAACTGTATTTCAAATTATCAGGAATTTTTACTTTTTTTCAGAATCCACCTATTTTCTCCATCAAATATATAAACGACCAAAATATACTTAGTATTGTGTTTTGTAGCAAGATATAATTATATTTCAACAGTTTAAACTTTTTAACAAAGGTGGGAGAAAATATATTAAAACAATAAATATTTAAACCATTTACTTAAAAGGAGTTTAGACAGTTTTAGTCTGTGCGCAATTTGACTGGTTGATAAAAATGTAAGCAAAGCTATCAAGATTTGCCAAGACGGAAAACCCAATTAAACATTCCTTTCTAGCGAAACTAATGTCTCCTGAATAACGAGATAAAAAAGACTTATTTTGATGAAATAACTACATATGTAACATGTTATAGTGAGATACTAAGTTGTGAACAAGATAGCTAATTAATTATAATTATCAAAAGACGACTTAATAGTTGAAACGTTTTAATATAACATCAAACTCGTTGTAACGAGACTACTAACTCTTGGAGAATGAGATTAAAAAATTATCATAATGTGATACTAACTCGTTATACAAGATAGAAAATTCATTTTAATAGGGTCACTACTTCATTATTTAAGGAATGAATGTAATAGCTGGTTATACTGTATAACCTGGGTTGAGACAGTTTACGCTTTATAAACCGCGAAGCGGTTAATAAAAAAAAAAAGCGTAAAAAATCGTAAAGTGTTCCAACCCAGGTTATATATAAAATACATAGTTACTGTCTTGAAATATAAGCGATATTTGGGCAAGGGAAAGAAAACGTGATAGAGGGCGAGGCTTGCAGAGCCCTCAATATTAATTATGTAGACACTTAGAGGGGTAATACGGAAATTTATGGGGTCCTTGAAAAATGCATATTGTATTTTTTCAAGAACTCCATATACATAACTAATTTACCCTGTCGAAGATTTTTTAATAAAGTTCATTTTTTCCGAGTTTAGCAAACCGTTCCCTAACAATTGTTTACATTGTGACGTCGCTTAATGCTAACGTGACGTCAGTTATTAGGCTCTTTGCTTGTTCATTGAAAAAAAATTACATTTGCACATGTATGTTTCTTAGATGAACCTATTGAAGTTAAAATATGTTCAATTCTGTATGAACTTATTAAGGGGTCAGAGGTCATAGCGTGAACGAATCACATGGCGAGATGATATTTTGCATACATATTTCTGTCACGGTGAAACTGGTTTTGGAACTTCTAAGTTTATAGTGATGAAAGAGATAAAAAATTGAAAAAATGTCCCAAGAAGCCCTTCGGGCTTCACAGGATTTGATCACGTGACCAACCAAGTTCATTTCCCAGAGAACTTTTTAACATTGTTGTTTATTTCTTAAACAACATATTGAATATGATCTGGACAGTATGGCACGTGGAGGGGTAACATTAACAATATGATGTGGATAGACAGCATAACATGATTTAATACAGTATTCTTCTTGACCAATGAAATTTCAAGATTTCTATCAGAGGCAGCTAGGATAATCACATTTTCGATTCGAACCCAAATATCGCTTTTATTTCAAGACAGTCACCTTGTATTTTCTTTATCCTGCAACATATTTTCACATCTGACCTCCAAAATAAGATATTTTCAACCCGATTTAGGCACATCTCTGCAGTTGAATCCAAGACGCTATAGCGTAAACATTGCAATATATATGACTTCACAATGCTTTCAGAATGTCAGAATACATGCACGAGGCTATATAAGGGCATTGACCAAATATAGCTTTGGTTTATTAGGTTACCTTTATTAGGTCAATGCAAGCTTTAAGGGGTAGTTACAGGATAAATGCCAGTATAACTTGGGCAGCTATTAGGTTCATTCCTTATAATTTAATTTTCCGTCATTAAGTGAAGACAATAACGCAATTTTTCTACAAAAATGCCTTTAATTTGAGCATATTTTAAAAGTAACGTCAAGCAGAATAATACGTTTTTGACATAAGTCATAGTGACGTAGGCAACATGTGTTATACGATATCAACTAAATCTAGCTTTTATCTAATCAAATGACGTGTTACAACCAGAATTAAATTATTACGAGATAACTAACTCTCGATAGAGAATTATTAACTAGCTAGCCAAGTTATAACGAGATATTTACTTGTAATAACTAAATAATCATTTCAATATAATGAGCTTAATGAAAAAATAAAAGAAATATAATGAAAATAGTGATAGTGTCTTGTTTAAAGTCATCATTTCGCAAATTCTATGGTCAATACAATAACCTTGTCAGCAAATGCAATCTAATTTTGAATCGAATGCTGACTGATGCTTTTCATAGAAATTATTTATTGATTATTTCCTTTATATTCCTTTGTATAACTATGATCCCCTGTTTTGGCCCCTCTATTTTCCTGGGTGGTCATGATTTGCAAAAAAATTAAATCTACATTACCTGAGGATGCTTTTTATATTATTGAGACCAATCATGACTTTGTTGTTCTTGTGAAGAATTATAAAGATTTGCCCTATGTATTCATATGTAAAACTTTGATCGCCCATTGTGGCCCCATCCTACCCCCAGGGGTCATGATTTGAACAAACTTGAATCTACACTACCTGAAGATGCTTCCACATGAATATGACCAATCATGGCTTTGCTGTTCTTGAGAAGAAGATTTTAAAAGGTTTTTCGTATGTATTCCTATGTAAAACTTTGATCACCCATTGTGGCCGTACCCTACCCCTGGGGCCATGATTTGAACAAACTTGAATTTGCACTACCTGAGGATGCTTCCACATAAGTTTCATATTTTCAAGCATATTGGTTCTTGAGAAGATTTTTAAATGATGTCATTAATGATATTTTTCACGAAATCATAATTATCTCCCTTGGAAGAAGGCATGACCCTTCATCCAAACAAACTTGAATTCACTTTTCCCAAGGAAACTTTGTGGCAAGTTTTGTTGAAACTGGCCCAGTGGTTCTTGAAAAGAAATTGGAAATGTGAAAAGTTTACAACGACAATGACAGCGACGACAGACAGCGGACAAATTTTGATCAGAAAAGCCAACTTTAGCCTTCGCTCAGGTGTGATAAAAATTCTTAGCATAACAAACATCAAATCCCCCCCCCCCCCCGAAAAAAGGGTGATCATTGTTGATTTTGAGGTCACAAGGTCAAAAGTCAAGGGTCAAAGAAAAATAACCCAGACAAGATTTTTTTTTATTTTTCAGCCAGTGATCTTGAACTTGCAGGAATCTTTATTCAATATCAAGACACACCCTTGGATCATTAGCAAGCTCATTATTAAGTCGAAATTCAAGTGAATCTCCATTACAAATTTGGAGTTCAGACAAGCATTTTACATGTTTTCGTCAGTGACCTTGAACTTGCCAAAACCAACATGGATCAAGGTCATGAAAAACCCACGGGTCAAAAGCATTTTCTGTACAATGTAAAGGCCAGCCTCTAGTAAGTCTCAATTACAAAGTTATATGCCAGACCAGAATTTTATACTTTTTTGTAAGTGACCTTGAACTTGCCAAAATGAGTTTGGGTTAAGGTCGGCTTTACTCTCAGGTCAAAAGCAATCTTTGTACCAAGTATGATCTACCAGTAATTCTCCATTACATAGTTTTTCTGCCAGTAACTATGTACTTGCCGGAATGACCTTAGGTCAAGGTCGACATACACTATTGCATCATCAGCAAATTTTATTCCATGTATGAGCTTCCAAAGATTCACCGTTACAAAATCACTTATTGCCCAGACAAAATTTTTCAGACAGTGACCTTGAACTAACCAAAATGACCTTGGGTCAAGGTCTTAACACACGTGGGTCAACAAAGCTATCACTGTACCAAGAATGAGCATCCAATGAATCTCCGTTACAAAGTTTTGAACTGGACAACAAATGTTTTAACAGTGACCTTGAACATGCTGGCATGACTTTTTGTCAAGGGCAAGGCAACCACTTGGGTCATAAGCAATCTCTGTACAAAGTATGAGCTTCCAGTGTCTTTCAATAACAAAGTCATAGCAAGGAGAAGATTGTATGGACAGAAGGACACACAGTAAAGGGATTTCTGTATAACACACACCTAAAATCCCCACACCCAAACCCCCTCCCACAAACTTTGTTTATGTGGGATATTTAGATATTTGTTACAATTTCAATAGCATAGAAGATTCAACAAAAAAGTAGAGTAGCCAGTTGGACTGCGCAAATTCAGTTTTAATGCAAAAATGTAATATAAATATTTTTTTTAAAAACTTTCAGGAATACATGTACGTGCTAAATATTACTTTCTTTGCCTTGTTGATGAGGAAAATTTTATGTTGCCATGGAGATGGAAGATGTTTAAATAGTCATTAGTTTACACAGAAGTGTATTGTATATTATATTCTTTTACAATTTGTTTTTGCTACTCAATGATTTCAATTTAAACATTTTTATTGAATTTTGAATTCGGCCTACTCTTGCCCATACGGACTTTTGTCAGGAACTGATTAACCTCAGCCTTCGGCCTCGGCCAACCAATACCTCACCAGGTCTGCATTGTCACAAGAAGACCTCCTCAAAAGTTAATATATTTTTTTATAATGAGATTAACTTGTCAGAAATTAGACTATCCAGTTTTCATTGCAAATATTGGTCATGATGCAAAATTTTCAGTAATTTGAATGAAATTTTAAGACTCTTAAGTCTCAATAAGCCACTAGCATGAAAACTGGGTCATTGATTTACCATTTGAAAGTGGAGAAAATATCAGTAAGTCAAAAAAATGATTTTTCATTTCTATAAGTAGAATGTTTTTGCCTAGTTAACATCCTTAAAGACACAGATTTTTGTTGACGAATTGCTACATACTGATTCTTTATAAAATGTATTTGTTGCTATGTGGACAAGTTCTGTTGCTATGGATGAATTAACTGAAAAATACTTTTGAAAAACCAGTTTGACAATCTTGATTCTGGGCAATAGCAATTCAACTATAAGAATCAGGTAACCTTTTAAAAACTAAGATGAATATGTGCTAAAAATAACTTTCAATGCTTCGTTGCTAAGGAAAATTTGCTGTTGCCATGGAGATAGCTTATTGTAAAATAGTCTTTAGTATACAAGGAAGAATATTTTATATTTTATTATTTTAAAATTTGTTTTTGGTACCCAATGATTACAATTTATTTGATATTTTTTCCAATGCTTTTCATTTTCCCCATTTTAAATTTATCAAACCATCCATTTTTGTTGCCTAGCAACAGATAGGATTTTCAAATTTGCAAAACTTTTTATTTCAAATTCTTACAGAGGCTTTCCTGTGGTTTTACAGGAAATAGATGAAACAATTGTATTAAGATGGTGAAATGAATAATATCGACTTGATTTTTGCTAAAATCAAGCAAAATGCTGAATCAGCAAAAAATGGGAAACATGTATCTTTACCTGTCTCTATAGCAAATATATTAGAGAATGTATTTTTTTTTTATTACGTTGACAGAACACTTTAAACGTGTATCTTTCTTATCACACTAGATAAGAAAAAAATTACTCTTTTTACATTTTGTATAAAGCCTTCAAAATGAGTGAAATTTTGTCAATCTACAAAGAAAAATTGGCCGGTTGCTAGGGGAATTTCTTTGTCCAGGTTTCCATAGTAACAATGACCCCAAATATTTTTCCTTCCACATACATGGCTTATAGCCCAAGAAAAAACTGTGAGTGAAAAATCATTAATTTCTGAGAACCTCCATGTATCACCTTTAATATATAGGCTGCCTGATTGTTACGTGGACCTGTACTTAAGAAGTCTGTGGCTAATATAGGGGTTATTGGGATAGTGAAAATGAAAGAGAGATATGGTGGACAATGCCTTTTACAAGTAGTGTTCAGCTTTAAGTGTATAAAGAAGATATAACATTTAAGTACTAGCTCTTTGGGGACTTTTACAGACTTTGTTAATCTTATATGTTTACCTCTTAGTTGATGTCAGGGTTAATGTGTATATTAATATCCTGATCTTTAGCTTGGGAATTCCACATACAGCTATACATATACATGTTTAACAAAAATTGCTATGTTATCTATGATTCATAACATACTCATGCAATTCCAATAGTTTGGTCTTAGTGAAACCATTCTAATTTTATTTTATGCAGGTTTTTACTTTTTAAGTCCTCACTATAAACATTTGATGATGTATTACAGGCAATGTCTGTGGTCTCCGAAGGCTTGGAGTGTTTTGGAGGTCAAGGTTACATAGAGGACACAGGACTTCCAGGATTGTTGAGAGATTCGCAGGTGAATGGAATAAATGTTTTTATGTGCTTACAACAGTAATACATACATAATAGAGTTCACTTTGTGATCAGGAGGCCCAGGTTCAATTCTTGTATGCTATGGCACCTCAAACCTAACACGTAAACATAGGTCGAGACTATTCCATTGCCAAACCCCCAGAACTAGAACTGATAGTCATGGATCTTTCAGTTGAGACCTTGAAAAATTAAGGTCCTGTGTCATGGGCCTTAACAATAAAGAACCCTCATTGCTCAATGGCCCTGAGTGCTGAGTATAGGTCTAAATTTGAAGCCTTCACTGGTATATGGTGACATCCCTATATGAGAGAAAATATTCTTGAGCAGGACGTAAAACAACATACAATCAAACATTCAATCTTCTGATGCTAAAACCTTATTTATATTTTCTCTACCATTTTTTATACCCCCCGCAAACGAAGTTTAGGGGGGGTATATTGGAATCAGCTTGTCCGTCTGTCTGTCCGTCTGTCTGTAGACGAGATTTTGTCCGAACCATTTCTTGGAAACTGTTGCAAGGATTTGTCTGAAAATTTGTACACTTATTATTTGCCATATGAAGGTGTGCACCTGGTATTTTCATCATGATTGGATAATTTTTTTGCATTTTACAGGTGTTTTTTTCATTTTTATTATGTGGTTTTGTCCAGATCTGTTCCCAGAGACTATTGCATAGATTTGTATGAAAATTTGTACACTTATTATTTACCATATGAAGATGTGCACCTGTTATTTTCAACATTATTTGATAATTTTTCTGCATTTTACAGTTTGTTTTTTTTATTTTTATTGACTTAGTCATTTCGGGTTCATGTCTAAGGTTTGAGACATAGAATCTAAAACATCTGTACAAAAATGTGAACTACAGCTTAAAACAACTCATTAGAACTAAAAAAAAAATCACAAAGTATTAAAAACAGTTTTTACATTACATAGCAGATAGTGTAAATCCATTTGTCCCTTGGGAGTAATGAGTGGACATGCATCCAGTTAAACATTAATTAATGAGTTCAGTGTGGGAAGCTGTTAGGGCATCTCTGATCAAGCAGGTCTTATCTATATCTCCTGAGAATTGGGCAGAAAGAAATAAAGATTTCTGTTGTCTAAGCCTCTTAATTGTAATTTATATCTGTCAAAATACATAGTTACTGGAACCAGCCTTTTATTTTTAAAATGAGTTTGGTATAAAGGTATTAAGATCAATTTGATTTTGTATAATTAATTATGATAATTTTTTTTCAACAATCAATTTGCAGAGTGTCATGTCTCACAAAGATGACAGATAGTTGCAAACTATTTTTTCAATGTAATAAAAAACACTGTAATTATTAGTATTGATGTTTTATTAGGCTGCACCTTAGTTTCATTCATTAAAAAAAAAATATGAGTAATTAAGTTTTCGCTCTAAATGTTTAAGCAAATTGTGAACACCTCTCACATCTAGAAAACATTAGTGATTTGGTACCTTCTCTGAAAAACCCAGTGGGGGGTATTTGTCCCTTTTGGACAGTTCTAGTTTCACTATGATGTCACATTTATCTTGCATTAATAAGTGAAATGCAAAAAAAAAAAAAAAATCTTGGAAGAAAAAATATTAAAAAATACTACTGTGAAATATAAACATTTTACTTTCAAGCAAAGTTCATGTCCTTGTATTACAAGTTAATAATTTCCACAACCAAGACAATCTTAGCCTATAGTGATGTAAGTATATTCCCATTTGTCACTTTCTCACACTTATGTACACATTTGGTTTTGAAGGTACTGACAATTTGGGAGGGGACAACCAACATCTTGTCCCTAGATGTACTCAGAGCCATCACAAAATCCAAGGGGGAGGTGCTGGTTGCCTTCCATGATGATGTCATCTCCAAGGTTACCAAGGTCAGCAGGGTCCAGGAATTACAAGATCAAGGTCACAGAGTTAAGGAGGCAACCCTACAGGTCATGAACTTTGTGCAGAAAAACCCAGATAAGTTAAATATGGCTGCCAGGGACCTAGCATACAGTCTGACCAGGATATACATGGGTGTGTCTGAAATTTTGACTGATCCTTTACATAAAATATGATTACAGTAAAATGCTAAATTAAGAATTTTTACAGTATTTTGTTAGACCCAGGTTATACGATATAAACTAATTTTTTAATCCAATCAAATGAGGTGTTACAACCAAAATTAAATTGTATGAAAATGCCATTCAAATGATAGGAAACTTAAAATTGGATGTAAACATTAAGTTTCAAAAATCAATGCTGTCCTGTATGTTTCTATTTTATGAAATAAAATATGGTAAACTTTTTTTAAATAGAAAATTTATTAAGGAATGAATTTAATTGCTACCAAAGTTATACTGGTATAACCTCGGTTGGGGCAGTTTACACTTTATAAACAGTGAAGCAGTTTATAAAAAAGCGTAAATTGTTCCAACCCAGTTATACCAGTATAACTTGGGTAGCTATAAAATTCATTTCTTACAATTTAGCTTTCCTTCATTACATTTAGAAAATAAGACAATATCTCCTTCAAAAATGCCTTCAAATTGTATGTATTTAAAATATAATGTCAAGTGGTTTGATACGTTTTTGAAATAAGTCATTGTGACATAGACAACATAGGTTGTACGATATAAACTAATTTTTTTATCCAATCAAATGACGTGTTACAACCCAAATTAAATTATTAAGATACAATGCTGATCTATAATTTTGTAATTTTAATTTTTGATGTAGGTGCTATTCTCCTTGACCATGCAGTAGAGTGTGGTTTGACACAGACAGACACACAGACAGCCCGGCGGTGGTGTGAGAAAGACTTGTCCCTGGTGGTGACCAATCACAAGCTCGGCCATTACAACAGTAGTAAGGAAGATCTCCGTCTGGTGTATGAACATTACACTGGATAATGGCTGATGAGTGCCAGTTTATTTGTGATATGAAAAAAAAGCCTACAACTTTAAAATTTACACAGGAAATCCCTAACTATTACTTTGACAATGTTTATATTTTCATTTCTAAACTGAACAGTGAGTTGTTAAAACAGTTATCTTAATATTTAATTTTTGTGGAGCCACCAATTTGTAAAAAAACCCACCCTATTTAAAAAACATGCCTTTTTTTAAAAAAACATTTAGAATGAAATTAATTTTTCAAAACTACATCTATATTCAAGACAATTTAGACTTGATGGACCCCCCCCCCTTTCAATTCCATACCCTCCACTCACACATTTATGGACATTAATGAATGTTAAGCCAAAGGTAAATGAATCAAAATCATTTCTTCTGAAAATAACTAAGTTTTCTAGATTGATTTTATTCAAGTAACATGGGCCCCCTCCACCTCTTGTAACAGGAGGGGAGGCTTAGTACTGGAGTACTTGGATGTAAAAGTACTGCTGACCAGAAGCAAGCACCGGAAGCAGGGTATACAGATGTGCTCGCAACTCTCTCGGTCCCAAATGTCTAGTACCTAAATTTGGAATCTCAGGCATCTGTGACCAACACAGGGCCACTGGTTTTGCCCGGTACTTATTAGTCGGTATGCCAGCTATCCCTCCTGGACCCTGTTTTTGATTGTACATTTATGCTATGCGGCCATTTAATGCCAATTCCCTTATGTCCATCACAGTTATGAGTAATGCAAGATTGTATATGTTTTTGTTCAAGTCTTTAATAAAGGTAATGAAAATTATACAGCTGTTGTCTATTGTAAAGCTGGCACCAAGGAAAGGTCATGATGACCCTATGTGTAAAAAGAATCAAGTAACAATGCATGTCAGGTCCTGTGGGGCAGTGATTACCTGACTGTTCAATTAAGTAACATGAATACGTTTTCAAATTTATTTAATAAATGTTGATACTACATAATATATAAAATATTGTATAAACTGGCTATTTGAATAAAGATATTTAAGCAACCGAGCTTTGACATGTACTGTATGACACTGTTTCAATCAAAGAAATCAACCTTGTCTTGTTGATACATATAATAGTTCTCATTTTTGGCTTGATGTAAAGAACCAGTACTAAAAAAAAGTCCATGTAATTTCAAGTCAAAATGTTGAAAACATGCGTGTATAATATTCTTACATCGCAGTGTCCAGTTTTCTATAAATGAGATATGCATAAAAATCCCTCAGAAATGGATTAGAAATAATGAAATATATATGTACCACCACCTTTGTCATAATATATTGTTATGAAAATACAACTTAGCTTCTGTCTTAGAACTAAAATAATCATAAATGTAATCATTTATATAAATAAATATATAAATACAATATTAAACGATGCCAACGTACAATAATCAGATTATAAATTACGCATGTACATACAATAAATTACGCATGCACATACAATAAAGTACGCGTGTACATACAATATTAAACGATGCCAACGTTCAATAATCAGATAAAAATATAAGAAGAGATAATACATCTTAACTGTTTAAAGTTTTCTTACACGTTATTAAATAAATTCTCGTTAACAATCTGTCGTAAACGGGTTTCTTAAAATGACCACTGCTTACGAACACCAGCTGTCAGAAAAACGTTTGTTTACATTTTTTGTTGCTGATTTATTTTTAAGAAAAATATTTTTGCGAATGCACTGCACGCGCAAATTTGCTAAAAATTTATCTACAGTAAAAATTTCCAGATTTACGGTATAGTGTGGCCAGCAATCATTTTGATGTAACTTGAAATAACTAAGATAAATCTTGTTTGATTGGTTTATGTACAATGGTAGTAAGAATTCTTCAAATATACTGAATGAAATATATGGAGATAACGAACAGTATTCTAGCTCAAAAGTCCATTAAATAATACAAAATAGGAGCAGAGCAAACACGGACCTCCAAAACATCAGAGATGGGATCAGGTGCCATGGAGGAGTGAGCATCCCCTGCTGACCGGTCACACACGCCGTGTGCTCCTTGTCATGATCGGGAAATAACGGAAAATCCGTCGACAATTCAGTGTGTAAATAATGGTCTAACAATTAGTATGAAGAACGTCAGTCAGCATTTGACTCAATGATATATTGTATTTGCTGACAAGGTCATTGTATCGACCATAGAACTTAAGAAATGATGACTTTAAACGAGAGAACAGATATTCTTGTTTCATCAACTTGTTTGTCAATAATTTACCTCTTTTTAGAAATTGTACATACGTAGAACATGCTCTTGCGTATCGAATCAAATGGGATATATATACCCCGTTTGCAGGTGATGAAGGTGTATTGCTGCACAAGTAAGAGAAGTTGAGGATTGAAAAGTTAAAGTCATCACGTTTATCATAAAGCTTGGTTGTTAGATTACCATTAACGTCTTTTTCAAGTAAAATATCCAAATATGAAACAGATGTGTTAGACTCTGTGGTATCTTTTATCTCAAGCTCACCGGGATATATTCCGAATATATATTGATGAATATTGATTATAAAATATATATTGATGAATATTGATTATAAAATATATATTGATGAATATTGATTATAAAAAATCTCACTAAATGGGAAGAAAATGGTCTAATTTCCATCATCTTTTTAATTATAATTAAATGACTATGTCAATATAATGACTTTTACATGATATTTTTAAATCACATTCATATCAGCCCCAGGTCAGATTGAGAGCAATAAGACTAAATTACTAATGTTAGTGATTGAGGATTGATACTGTAGATTCCTACATATACAACATGTACATAGGGAATTTTTGATGTATAATTTCGCAAGGGGCACCACTTGTAAACTAAAATTACTTGCTTTTTTTCTTATAAAATATACATATAAAAACTCTAGCTCAACAATCCACCTAGAACCAATTCTTCTTGCAATTTGACGTGTACGATTCTTTCAAAGATAAGGAACATACAGCATTGGAAGTATTTTTTAAAAAAATAAGCATGCCACAATTTTTATAGCGTATAATGATTTAAAACGTAGCAATGAATATATTAAAAGATATCAGTAACATCTATAAAAAATCTTTAAAAAACTGATTAAATCAGGGATATCTGAAGAATTTTTTACTGTAAATTCAATTATTTTTGTGGGGTCAGATTTTCCTCGTATGAGCAATACAGGCAAATAGAAATAAATCTAACAGCAAAAATATAGTTTACATACATTTGAAAATATTAAGGATGATTCTTCCTTTTATACAAACACTTAGTAATCATTTGTACATAGACATTGCATAACTGCATTTTAAATAGTGGTCAGCAAATAAAATAACATTATTTGCCAGATGTTACGATAAATCTTAAAACACTTGATAAAAACAATTAAGGTCCATTTCAAGGCAAACATAATACTAGTGCTTGTAGAATTTGTAACCATTATATCAAGTTAAATCAGTTTTAAAAGCCATTGACGTACTCTGCAGCATTTAAACTAATAATTGGTAGATTCCTCTTGTGTTGAACATGACAAAATTGCAGGGAATTTTAATTTTGCCAATTAATACTCCCTGCAATTTTAGAATATTTCTCAGTTCTAGAACCATTTACACAGAGCTAGTATCTTCTGACATTTTTCTTTATCATACGCATCACTCTCTCAAACTCTGGTGCCCGTTGCCTTCTAATATAGTCTAATTTATTCTTACTATACTCACAAACCAGTCGTTTTGTTCTCTCTAGAGCAGTCACACCCTCTCTGTCTAACAAAGATTCATACTCTGCACACCTCACTCTAACGTTTATGTCCGCCCCAGCAGGATCCTCACCTTCTCCACTCTCTCACTGACGTACTCTCTTTCATTAATCAGTGCATGCAGAAATGGTTCCATTTCGTACTACCTCTTTATATAAAAAAAAATTATCGACTGATTAACATCAAGACCCCCACACAAGAGATGTCTCAGTATGCCACAGTCTCCAAATCTGATTATTTGCCACAGAACACCACGAGAATCTATACACCACACTCGCCTTTGTGCCACCACCACATCATCCTTTCTGTCGAGTCTCACATCACCATGGCTTATGTCTAACAGAATTTTATACAATTGTTTGTTTACACTGTTTAACTGATGTGTTTTTACTGCATCTTATATTTGTTTTATAACATTTCCTGGAAGTTAAAATAATGCAATTAGTAATATTGATAGTCTATCATCATCACAGATGGTACAGTCAGCTCCATTTCCAACTAGAATGATAATACCAAGTAAAGAAAATCATTGAATTTCGATATGACTTCATGTAGTAGAGTTCTTAATTCCATGATCATCCATTAGATAGACATTGGCTCCTGCTTCCACCAGGCCATTCATCAGAGTATAGCGTCTTTTCATTAAATCAATCTTTAGTGGTATGTGTTCCATTGTTATCCTTTCAATTGACATCAGCCCCCATCTTTGTTAGTTCTTTAACTATGCTCAAATGTTTACCCTTCCGTGCAGCTATGAGTGGTGTACACCCCTCATTATCCTGTAGATTCACATCAGCCCCCATTTTAATTAGTTCTTGCACAATGCTCAAATGTCCATACCTACATGCAGCTACTAATGGTGTATTTCTCACCATACCTATATGATTGATGTCAGCCCTGACCTTGAAAAGTTCTTGAACAATACCCATATACCCACCAATACAAGCTGCTACAAGTGGTGTATTCCCCATGATATTTTGTAAATTGACCTTAGCCCCCTTCTTTATTAGTTCTTGTACCATGCTTAAATATCCACCCTCACATGCAGTTATCAGTGGTGTATTTCCTTCTTTATTCTGTAGATTGACATCAGCCCCAGCCTTTATTAGGTCTTGTACAATGTTCAAATATCCTCTCTTTAATGCAGTTATCAGTGCTGTATTCTGTTCTTGATTCCGTATATTGACATTAGCCCCTATTTTTATTAATTCTTGCACAATGCTCAAATGTCCTTTCATTAATGCAGTTACCAGTGCTACTTTCCCTTCTTTATCCCGTATATTGACATCAGCCCCTGCCTTTATTAGGTCTTGTACAAAACTCAAATGTCCACCCTCACTTGCAATTATGACTGCAATACGCCCATTTTCACGAGGTAAATTGACATCAGCACCTATTTTTATTAATTCTTGCATAATGTCAAAATGTCCTCTCTCCATTGCAGTTGTCAGTGGTGTATTCCCTTCAATATCCGAAACATTGACGTCAGCCCCAACCTTTAATAGTTCTTGCACAATACTCAGATGTCCTCCATCACACGCAGTTATCAGTGCTGTACGCCCCTTTCCATCCGCTAGATTTACACTAGCCCCCGCCTTAATTAGTTCATGTACAAAGCTCAAATGCCCACTCATTAATGCAGTTACCAGTGCCACTTTCCTTTCTTTATCCTGTATATTGACGTCAGCCCCTGCCTTTATTAGGTCTTGAACAATGCTCAAATCTCCACCCATACATGCAGTTATCAGTGCAATACACCCTTTTTCACTTGGTAGATTGACATCAGCCCCTGTCTTTATTAATTCTTGCATAATGTCAAAATGTCCTCTCTTAAATGCAGTTGTCAATGGTGTATTCCCTTCTGTATCCGAAACATTGACGTCAGCCCCAACCTTTAATAGTTCTTGCACAATACTCAGATGTCCTCCATCACACGCAGTTATCAGTGCTGTACGCCCCTTTCCATCCGCTAGATTTACACTAGCCTCCGCCTTAATTAGTTCATGTACAATATTTAAATGCCCTTCCTCACATGCAGCTAGAAGCGGCGTACATTTCCAACTTGTCTTTAAATTGATTGGTGAATTCAGCAACTTTGTTGTTTCCCAATATTCACGTTGAATTGGGTTTTTAATCGAATCTTTACTCACACACTTCAGTACAATTTTTACAGTTTCAAGATTACCACTGTAACAACTGAGCAGTAGCATATATTTTTCTTCATTTAAGAGAATGTCTTCATAATGAATCCCTCCTTCTAAAAAAACAGCTAAACAGCGTAGGTGCTCGAAATCTCTGTAGAATAGCTCAGATTTGTTCTCACCATGTTTTTCAATTTCACCAACAATGTATTGTAGAATATTATAATGTCCATGTAAGATCACCCATGCTATCACTTTCAGGTTAACTTCATGCATTCTCATCAAATTATGGAAATATCTTTCCAAATTCCTTGAGTGTAATCGTTCATACAGAAATAAAGATTTTATTTCATTGTACGACTTTTCTTCTAACACACCAATGAAAGCCTGACTCACTTTTGGATGCTTTAAAACACCATTTGTAAAGACATCATGCAATTTCATTCTCTCTATGTCTCTGTACAACCTCTCTGCTAACAGTGGGTACTGTTCTTCACTTAACCTTATACACAGATCAAAGGACTCTTCAGTTTCATTACTTTTGGCATCATTCTTGTTACTTCTTTCATCATTCTTATCTGAATGAGTAACAACCTCTCTCTCTTCACTCTTGTACACTTTGTTTGCTTCACTTTTTTGTAGTTTTACTTTGTTAGCAATATAACTACTACTCATATACTGCAGCATTTGTCCCGGGAACTGTTGACCATAATGATATGCACAAATCTCATACACATAGTCATGTATAAATGTATACTCTGTGCCACTCTTTTTTGTGTATATTCCCTCCATTGCTGACAAGGCGTCTACAAATTTGGAAGTACTAATACAAGTCTGCAATTCAAGATTTTTTAACACACTGTTTTTAATGTCGAGAAAAATAGTATTTTCTTGATCTCTTAGAATACCTTCAGAAAGTTTTTCATTCATTATGCATAAAGCTAACGTAGCATAATAAAGTTTATTTTTTCTTTGCATTTCATCAAGTTCAATGATAATACACCGAACTGGATTTGTGAAAAATGTTGAACCGAAATTTCGGAATTTTTCTTCCTTTGAAAACAATTTGCAGAGAAGAGGAAACATAGAAGAAGCCGATGTCAACAAGGAAGGTGACAGTAATTCAGATTTTAAGCCATATTTCTTCATAATCAGTTTCTTATCATTGTCATCTAATACATATTCAGAACTGTGCAACTTAATCACACTTTCATACCACCTAAATGACAGGTTGTAAGATAAGGATTCATTGTACACAGCCTCTCTACATGTCAAGAGAGTTTTACATCTAAATATGGAAGGACTTGCCATTTCATATTTATAATCCGTCAACAAATATGCCAAATAATCTAATTTTGTTCTCTGTAGGCCAAACACGCCTACCACGTCATCAACAATAAAGACCTGTTGGTTATATGTTTCTTCCAATTCTTCCATCTCTATGATTTCTCTGATGTCTTTTATTGGTACGACCTCGTAACCCTCCTTTTGGAGCATGAAGGCAATATGATGAGCCGTGGCAGTTTTCCCTGATCCAGGGCAACCCACAAATGTTACACATCTTTGTTTTCTCACTTTCTTCATCATTTCGTGAAAGCCGTGAGTTTCCTGATAAAGTCTGTCCTCATCCCTCCATTTATCTAACTCCATATCTTGTTCTGAAAGTATAATCAAATTAGCTTAAAAGTATTTATAACTTAGTAACAATAAATATCCTTTAATCCACGTGAATATGTAATGTACACAAATATTTTAAAACAAGCATTCTGAGAGTATTGCATTAGCAATACTAGTCCCCTACCGCCAAGTGTAATCTGGTTCCCGTTAAAAATTGAAAATGCCATAATTCCGTCAAAAATCATTGAAACGGAACGAAATGCAAACTTAATCTATGACTAATCAAGGTAAAGCCTCATACCAAAAATCAGCTAAATATCTGAAAGCATTTAGAAAAAAATTGCGGAAAACCCTTTAAAATTGAAAAGGTCGTAATTCCGCCAAAAATCATTGAAACGAAACAAAATGCAAACTTGATCTGTAACTCATCAAGATACACTCACATACCAAAAATCAGCTCAATATCTGCAAGCGTTTAGAAAAAAAGTGCGGAAAACCAAGTGGGACAGACTAACAGACAGACAGAGGGACAGACAGACAGAAAGACGGACAGACTCAGAGGAAACCTATAGTCAATGCATTAAGACGTCACGAATTGCATCATTTTCCCAAAATCCTGAAAAACCTCTATAAAAACTTCCAATCCTTTACGTTATTTTTCAATATTTCGTTTAAAGCACAACCTCTGATCTAAAATATGCAATTATTCAATGATGACCTTGTCAGCAAATACAATTTATCATTGAGTCCAATGCTGACTGACGTTTTTCATACTAATTGTTAGGCCATTATTTACACACTGAATTGTCGACGGATTTTTCCGTTATTTCCCGATCATGACAAGGAGCACACGGCTGGTGTGACCGGTCGGCAGGGGATGCTCACTCCTCCATGGCACCTGATCCCACCTCTGATGTTTGGAGGTGCGTGTTTGCTCTGCTCCTATTTTGTATTGTTTTAAGGACTTTTGAGCTTGAATACAGTTCGTTATCTCCATATTTTTCATTGATATAATGCTGATAAGTCACGATGAAGTCCTTTCTATACTTAATAAGCAAAATGTTATAATATACCAGGTGTAGTTATCCTTGGCCCACGTCTATTAAAACTTACAGCACAAACAATACATAAACCTGTGACACATAATAAATCCGAGTATTACATCTGGAATTTTTCCTGAGAGCTTTAAACTTGCAAGAGTTACATCAGTCTTTAAAAAGGGAAACAAACTAGATCCAAATAACTATAGACCTATTTCTATTTTACCAACATTATCAAAAACTCTGGAAAAACATGCTGCAAAATATATATACGATCTCTATTCTCAGACTTTGATCTTCTAGTAGAATCTCAATCAGTCTTCAGAGAACTGCACTCTTGCCAAACAGCCCTAACCAAAATTACAGATAAATGGTTAAATGAAATGAACCAAGGGAAAATTGTTGGTACTGTCTTTCTCGACTTCAGTAAGACATCTGACTTAGTAAATCATGAAATTCACCTTAAAAAACTAAAGTATTTTTTTTATTTAAATGAAATAACTTTACAGTGGTTTCGATCATATTTAAGTGAAAGACTTCAAAGTGTCCATTTGTCCAACAAAAATCATTTTATCAGAGTTCCACAGGGGTCTATACTAGGACCTCTTCTGTTTTTAGTTTACATTAGGGAGGGATTCTTCTCATATTTCTTGTATTTAAAAATTAATGAAATTTTCAAAGATTCAGGAAGACATTATCATTAAGTGATGGTATTAATTAAATCTGACCGTTTTATTTTAAAAGCAAGGTTAGGTCAAGGTCATTATCTTTTTCCTTTACCTTAAGAATAAAAAAATACCGTTGCCAATCATGTGATGCATACTTCTATTTCAAAAGATTAATTGTTTTTCTTTTTGCATAAAAAGATATAACCATATAGGGTCTATCAGATGATACTACCAAACTGACATAGATTATTTAACTAAAATAAATATTGGCTAATACGAATTTCTTCTATTTTTCTTAGATTTTTGGGATATATAAGTTATTTTTATATGCTTTGTATATTTAAATTTTTCTTATTTTCACATATCGTAAAATAGTCATATGAAGATACAAATTGATACAAAAACAAAATAGTTTTGACCGATTACTAAGAGAAAAAACACACTTTTTACGGATTTTTGGGTCAAATCAGTACTTAGATCGGAAGCTTTTAAAAGTTAACAAAATTGTAGTTTGTTTGGAAATCATATTTATTTGATATATTTTAAAACTTCAGTCCATTATTATTAATTTTACTTACATTTGAAATTTTCTTTTAGTCTTTGATTGTTTAAAATTTTTTTAACTAAATTCATTGCTCTATAGTAATTTTAGAATCAGAAAAGGAGATATTTTCATACGTCGCTGTTCCGCCAAAAATATAGTCCCTGCTAGATTTCAAACTCATTTTACATTTCTATTTAAAGTTGTACAATTATGATGAGGAAAGAAAAATATGATCTTTCAAATCTCTTACATCTAAATATATAAGACTTATAAGCAAATATACATGAATATTTCATCTAGTTAGAAACCAGACAAGAATCCCTCCTTAAGGATCTTCCACTTTATATTAAAAAATCAAACATAAAGAGCTAGGTTCATTTTATGCATAAAATCGCCCTGTCCTTATATCAATTTTAAATTGACTATCACCCTCTGTCCCATTTCATATTATACAAATATCACATGGCTTCGAGGTTGACATACCAGAATATTGCCCCAAGGTGACAGAAAAGCAGTGAAGTGTTATGTCTTCGGCATCGGGTGACATAACACTCCAGGGCTTTCCTGTCACCGAGGGGCAAATATTCTGGAATAGTCACCCGAGAAGCCATGTGGTATGTGTTATATAACATTTTTAAAATTAAAAAATCTAAAAAATCGTTAAAATTTAGACAAATAATCCAAAAATGCTTTCATGACGTTAAATATTACGCTCCGTCGTTTACGTTTGCTTAGCAACCGACGTCAGAAAATCACGAACCCGAGCTATAATGTGTAGCATTAAAGCACGTGAAGATGATCGGGAGGGTTTAACTGCTTCCGTCGGGTATATAACTGTTTCCAGCGTGTGATATAACTGTTTCCGGTGTGATTCAGCATTCTTCAGGGTTTAAAGTGAAATTTATTACATGTGTGACATAATAGGAAAACATTAAAAAATGTTATATATCAAAATAAAGTAGAGACTTACTGCTCTCATTTCCTGTGACAAAATTCCTTTTTGAGAATCCAGGTATTGGAAAACAGGATTTGTGAAAATGCAATGTTCTTGAATTTTGTAGAAAACAGGCGTATTTGACTATCTTCAGTAAAGAATTAAAATATGAGCACAGCCAATTAAAATATGTACTATGAGCTCCAGAAACAGGTCTTTTATTGTGTAAACACATATTTTGGATCAGAGGTTGTGCTCTACATGAAATATTGAAAAAATACTTCAACTTTGGGCCATTTTTAAAGGAATTCACAGGATATTTTTAAAAAATGACGCATTTCATGTCGTCATGATTCATTGACTAGAGAGAAAATTACGTCATGTTCAATAGATGCGTGGTCACCATTGGTCCAAGCGATAAATACTGCATTGTCAACCAAAACTGAGCAGTTCCGATTTTTCAGAAATTCACATGGCCAAAAAAGGCCCTTAGTGGCCCTTGCTCTTTATTTGCCGATGATGCCACTCTTCATGTTTCCGGCAAAGATTCCCAAACTATTGTAAATGCATTTTCAATGGATATTGCGTGTATGGAAAAATGATGTTCTCAGAATCAAATGGTACTTAATGTTACAAAAACCAAATGCATATTAATTGGTACACATCAGGAGAGATCGAGGTTTTCAGATGATGATTTTTTATGCATATCGAATCAGAAACTAGACAAGGTACATGTGAAAAAATCCTTGGAGTATATTTAGATAATTCTTTACAGTACGATGTACACATTCACCATGTCTGTAAATCACTGTCGCGTAAAATTTCTGCCCTCCGTAGAATTAATTAAACTAGTATCTTCCAATTCAAACACGCCAGCCGTTTTATAAAGCAAGTATCATGCCTAGTTTATACATACGTGCTGTAAGGTATATTTTAGATGCTCCCCCAGTGCGCCCACAAGTCCTCTTTTTGATGAACTTGATTGGCTAACTGTCTAAGAACAACTTACTGTAAATAATTGTTTTATTATTTAAATTCATTTTTAAATCTTGCCTTAGTGATTTAAATAGCATGTTTCAATTTCAAAGTAACCGATACAATTTTCGATCAGAATCCAACGTTGACTTGTTTGAAACAGTTCATAAATGTTAACTTTTTTTTTTTTTTTTTTTTTTAAAAGTCCATCTAGTACTCCGCTGTAAAGGCGATCAAAAAAATTTAAAATTTTAATCTCGATTTGTAAAAAGTTTGATTGTAACTGACCCAGTAGCTCTAGATGGTGTTAAAATTGTGGAAAGCTTATGCACAATAGACTTCAACAGACAAGGACAGAGAACTAGTCCGGTGAGTGACCCAGGTGACCTCTAAATGGTTTGTGTTTCGTTTTCACTGCTGATTGCATTAGTATGAATCCGATCGCTCTCTCTATACATACAAATACATTTCAGAATACATACAACTTTCCTTGCTGTATTGATATGCAAACAGAAACATAAAAGAGTTTGATTTCAAATTGCACTTAAAAGGCAGTAGATTTTGTTATTAACAAAACATGGGGAGCGTATTAATTGTAGGTTTTTGTTTTTATACTTAATTTGACTATGGAATATTATGTCTACGTTATCAAAAAAATAGGGTACTCGCGGGTGTGATCTTTCAACAGGGGATGCTTATTTCTCCTGGACACCTGGTCCTGACTCTAGAATTTCCAGGGACCCACGTCTTATGCCCTTCTTACAGATTGTTTCTAGATTTTTTTTTGAACGATTATTGTTAGTTATCTCCACCTTTTTGCATTAATGAGTTATTAGAATAGAAAATTTTAACATTTAATACTGAATGCACAAGGGTGTAAAGAAAATGTTAGAAGATATGTAACTAAAAGGTTCAATTTTTTCCCCGGAATTCACTGATGCCTTTTAACACAGGGGTACTAAAATAAAAGGATTTATAATACATTGAACTATTCAGTAACTATCAATTGGCTTTAGATTAGAAGGAAAAACATTGTCTTATGATAAGTAATCCCTTACCTTTACTGATGTGTCCTTTTCGAAAAACAAACTCATCACAGACAAGATAATCCACATTCAAAGAATGAAGACGTTCTAAAATATCTTGAGCATGTGACAGTAGCGCATTGGTATACTCTTCTTTTATTGACAGTAAAACCACAAAGCTTTTATCAGGTTGTAATCCACTGATGAAAACATCCGCTTCAGGACAATTAACCATTTTTGCAACTGTGTCTCGTATAAAATAGATATCCTCCTTAGAATAATCTTTAAAATTGCCAGATATGTGAAACTTGACAGTTGTAAACCCATTTTCTGCAAAGACAATTGCAATAGTTTCTCATATTCATATATCAAGTTTATCAATACTTAAAAGACAAAAATACAGAAATAATACCTGGTTGTCTTTCATAGAAACACAGCGCCCCGCAAGCTTGAGCATAATCGTAACATTTGTCATAGAGTTCGAGGCACCCGATCTTTCGTAACAGGTATTGTACCAGAATGACATCGCGTATACTAAACAATCCTTCCTGTATCAGAATTCCTAAGACTTCCCTCAAGGAATTACATGCAGATACAGAGTCTTCAATTATCGCATCTTGATCTGGATAAATAAAGTACTTGTGAGCTTTCTAAATTATAAAACGCATACTTTATTTAATTGCTTTCAAATATCACATTCTTCCATCATTCTGTCATATGTAACCAACACTTATATGTATATAAATAACATACTCATTCTAGGCAATATAAAAATTATAACAAATAAACTGAACTTTAGAGAATTTGAAGATAACAAACAGTTATCAATCTTAATAAACCAGTAAACAAAATGAATTGTGAACAGGGCAGAGAGCATGGACGCAGAAAATAAGGCACCTAGGAGGAGTAAGCATCCCTGTACTCTGCAGTCAAATCCAGTACAAAAACGATGACCTTACAAATGGTATCTGATATTTCAGATAAAATATGATCTGCCGATAGGTTGTATTTACAAACAAGATCATTATAACGGCCATAGAATTGGCAAAAAGCTGATTATAAAGGGGCTGTTGAAATCCTTGTTACATCAACTTATTTATCAGTAACTGGACTCGTTTGAAAATTGATTATGCTCAGAACATGCTCTTTTGTGTCTAATCAGTTGGGAAATATAAACACCATGGGTACAAATTACACCCCGTTATTAACAGGCCTATTTTTGTATTCACATGAAGCTGAATTTATTCAAAATCTAATACATGAGAAGAAGAAAACACTTGCTGTGGCCTTCAACTCAACCTTTAGATGCATCGACGACGTATCATCAAATAGTAATAGTTATTTCCATTCATATGTCATCACGATATATCCCAGTAAGCTTGAAATAAAAGATACCACAGAGTCTGACACATATGTTTCATATTTGGATATTTTACTAGAAAATTTTACTAGGTTAATTGTAACCTAACAACAAAGCGTTATGACAAACGCAATGACCTCAACTTCTCGATCTTCAACTTCCCTCAACTATGCAGCAATATACCCTTATCACCTGCACACGGGGTTTATATCCTTCAGTTGATTCAATACGCAAGAGGATGCTAAAAATTTTTCAAAAACAAGGTAAGTTATTGACAATCAAGTTCATGGAACAGAAATATCAACAGTCTCGTTTAAAGTCATCATTTTGTAAGTTATATGGTCGATATAATGACCTTGTCAGCAAATACAATCTATCATTAAGTCAAATGCTGACTGATGATTTCATACTAATTGTGTGAGGCCTTTTTTTACACACTGAATTGTCGACGGCTTTTTCCGTTATTTCCGATCATGACAAGAAGTACACGGCGGACGTGACCGTTCTGCAGGAAATACTCACTCCTCCATGGCACCTGATCCAACCTCTGATGTTTTAGAGGTATTTTTGCTCTATTCCTGATTTGTATTATTTGAATGGACTTTTGAGCTTGAATACTGTTCGTTATCTCCATGTCTTTCATGCAGGTGACGTTGGGATATTACTATTTAAATAAGGAAAGTTGTCCATGGGAAAAGTAATAATTGTCTAGTTGAAGGCCACAGCATCAGTTTTTTTTTTATCTTCTTCTTAGAAGTTTTTCTGAACAAAATAAATTCTGCTTCTAGAAATATAACAAACTGCCCATGGGTCACATTGCATGCCTGAGCAAATTGTCTTAAAAAAAAGAAAAACCAGTTCAGAATTGAAAGGTTTATGGGAGCGTTTTGAACAAATTTGATTATACGGTAAATGTATTCCTTTGACAAATCCTGGCTTCAGAATATTTTTTTACGATTTTGGAAGATTTAAAAAAAAAAAGATTTAAAAAGATTTAATTTCACTTACACAAATTCTTAATACCCCCCCCCCCCCCCCCCAATGGCGTGTTCCTTCATTTTTGATTGAAAACGGCATTGTGGTTCTTGAGAAGAAGTCAAAAATGTGACGCCAACAAATACGACAACGACAGATAACGAAGAAATTTTGATCAAATATGAAGCTCATTTGAGCCTTTGGCCGAGTTAAGCTAAAAATAGGCCGGCTAATGAAGGTGCACGATTATTGCCAATCGGAATTCCAACAAATTGATGTTAGACCTAGTCCCCAAAGAGTATTAAGAAATTGTCATTGAGGAACTCCAGCATATCTTTTTAATATAAATTTCAGAGTAATTTTGTAGATGGCCGATCACGAGATATGAAACTTTGCGAGTTCCATTTTTATTGAGAAAGCAGTTGTCTATAATGTCAAAAAGCCTGCTTTTTAAAGCGTATTACGCACTATTAGTTTCACTATCTCCTAATTCAACACTAAGACCATGCAATCCTTTCACCTGATAGATTTTATCCGGTCGCTGCTGCGTGTAGTACATTTACTAGTATAGCTTACACTGTTCTCTTGTTTATTTTATTTCTTTGAACATGATTTGTGTTTATTTCACTCTGTTATGCATTGAACTATGCAATTTATATGGAATATCTTTGGTAACTTTTTCCCTAACGTGGGAGAGGCATACAGAAATCATTTTGTCGCTTCCAAATATATCACAATGACAATGAAGGAGACTCCGTTCAGGTAAAGTTCGTGAAGAGGGTACACTGAAACGTGAACGAAGCTAGCTGAGGCTTATATTGGAGCTGGAGAAGGACTATTTTGAGACGACAATATGGGGGACAAAAATGACAGTCTTCCTTTTACGAATCGTATTCAGCTTCAATTAATTGTGAGGAATGATTGTATAAAGAAAACTCACATGTTTTGATTCTTTTGATGTTTGAGAAGATTTTAGAATTTTAAATTCAACAAATTTCTTTTGATTTTTCTTAGAATCCATATTTTATTTACACCACTTCTTGAATATGTAGTCGCACGATACGTCTGAATTTTGTCTTTCACAACAGTGAATATTTTGGTGAAGAATAATGATAGTGGCTTGGTTGAACATTTTACAAGATCCTGCAATAAATCTTTGTAAGGATTTTTTGAAGTTTTACCCGGTAACTCAAACTCACTGCCATTGACTGGGATATTAAAAGAACTAATAAAAACACGACAAAACAGAGAATGTCTTTATATACTCTAATTTCTTACTCAATATGTCACCATTTTAAAAACTTCCCGTCTTCTAGATTGCATTGAAATTCTGTTAGTTTTTTTTTAAAATACTCTGAAGACAGAAAAACAAATAGGAAAACAAATAATCATAATTAACATTGTTGTAAGGAGAAAATAGTTTTTGTTCAAAAATATCCCAGACACATTTAGCAGTAATGTATCAAGGTACAACATTTACATTTATGGTCCTTTAAAATATTTAGTTGTAGCAATAAAAATAAACAAAATCTTACCAATCAGTAAATGTTTGAACCTTTCAAGCTCATTTTGTGGAAATGAGTTTTCAAGATCGTCTCTTAGACTGGCAAATGGTATTTTTGAGCCTCTTTTTCGATAAAAATCCATTTGCTTATCTACAAATTAAAAAAAAAATAATTCAATTACAAGCCGTAAAACGTCACTTTAGTTTCTTCGATCTAATATTTTATATTACTTACACAGGCAAAAATGGCTTACATAAATTTTACATGAAATTCTCATGAATTTCATGTGAATTCTTTGCATGAGAAAAAGACGAAAAACAAGACTTGTGAAATTTATATGAAAACTTCAAGCCATTTTGACACAAATTTCTTATGAAATTTACATGAAGAGCATATTGTATAAATATCGAGCATAAAAAACTTCACATGAAAGTTCTAAAAAAAAAATTATGTGAATATCATACAAACTCATTCACATGATATTCGCATGAAAAAATATTTATATAATTTTTACATGATTTTCACGTAATTTTCAAATAAAATAATAATCACATGAATATCATGTAAGCCACTTTTCACTGTGTACTATGTGCCTTTAGTTCATGATCCTCATTTTGGATTTTCTTTTCTGTAATATATATTTAATTAGCCATATCATTTCCGTGAATTTATATATTAATAATAAGCAATAGATATAATCACATCTGTCTTTCGTAAAAAAAAGATTTGTTGAAACAAGTTGATGAAACAAGAATATCAGCAGTCTCGTTTAAAGTCATCATTTCGTAAGTTTTATTGTCGATACAATGACCTTGTCAGAAAATACAATTTATCATTGAGTCCAATGCTGACTGACGTTTTTCATACTAATTGTTAGACCATTATTTACACACTGAATTGACGACAGATTTTTCCGTTTTTTCCCGGTCATGACGAGGAGCACACGGCGGGTTTGACCGGTCGGCAGGGGATGCTGACTCCTCCATGGCACTTGATCCCACCTCCGACGTTTTGGAGGTCCGTGTTTGCTCTGCACCTATTTTGTAATGTTTAATGGACTTTTAAGCATGAATGCTGTTCGCTATCTCCATATATTTCACCGATGCAGTAATGTATTTGAGTATGTATTTGCACTCAAATTTTAATTTCAAACCATTGATATACTAGTAATGTTAGATTTGTTAAATGTCAGTATTATAATGTTTTCTAAATTTCAAATAATTCTAGAAATGAATTTGCATCATGTTTATTCAGTGCTTTTTATTATTTCAGCTTGGCTTTAATTGATTGTTTAATATCATAGACAACTGCATGCTTCTTTAAAAAAAAAAAGGAAAACCTAATTACATTCCTTGCTATTGATTATCTGCAAAGATATTTGGCTAAGAACATTCTCATTCTACTCACAAGAAAACTGAGGTTAAAAAGATACTTGAGCTTAAATATCTATGTCATAAAACTCACCAAATGACACAACAGAGTCGAGTCTTAAACATCTTTTAAATATTTAGATGCTTTATTGGAAAAGGGCATTGATGGCAAAATTACAACCAACCTTTTTTGATAAACATGATGACGTCAACATTTTTTCATCAATGTATACTGCTTATGGGGTTTTTGTCAGCCTGGTGATTCGATATGCAAGATCATGCTTTACATACGATTAATTTTTCGAGGTGACGTAAGTCAGTTTCGTAAGCTGCTGACAAGCTTCAATGGCGCCCCCTCTGATCACTACCATTCGAAATTTCTTACCGTAGAAAGCAAGGATCAAATCAAAGATAGGTTGCTAATATGTAAACAATAGCACTTGCAAGATTGATTGGAAATATTAAAACGTTAATTTTCATCAGTTCACTAAGAAATATAGTCCTCTGTTTATACATGCATTAAAATCAGAATTTGGTTACAAAACAAAATTAAGATTGAAAATTTATTCAATGTGATTTTCAAGCAATAAGTAGTGTTTTCATGGATTAACAAATACTAAATACAAGTTCCTGAGTGGGAATAAGATATAAAGTATCCCTACGGTCCGAACAATTTTAGCGAGGGTAAAACGTAAACAAATGGCTTCGACAGAGATCGTAACCTATACGTCGATCGCAGGCAAGGGAGAGAACGAATCGTGGAACAAAACCAGCTGAAAGAAGCGTTCTGCTTACTTTGAAATATGCAGTTAAATGAATTCGGGGATCAACATAGTCGCTATTGAGCTCAGAACTTTACCGCGAATTATCACAAAAGCGAAGTTTAACATTTTCACCCCCTTTGTTTTGTAAATCATGTTAAAAAATCTGTTAAGAACACGTGGTAATATTGTCATTATTTTATAAATCTATAGATCTGTTCAGTGCTATTATTGTTGAAATAGGTGAATAACAGCTGGACGCTTGCACCTATTTCGCTGCTATGGACCATTTCATCGAATACTCTATCGGAACTCCTCTAGAGTTTACGCTTCTGCAAGACGCAAGGTAACAAGTCTGCAAGACAACAAGACGCAAAACAGCTGGACCTATATCGAAGTCATACCAAAGATGTTGATGAATTTCGACTATTTTTATTGTCAAATGATTAGTTCATGCTGTGAATACAGGCATATATTTTAGAACTATTAACTGTCTTTGGCGATCAAACATGTGAAGAAAGGCTGATTGCTTGATAAAGTCGCTCAGTCGGCATGCAGTATTAGGTTTACTAGTTTTCATAATATAGTAATTAATTTAATATTCTTTGTTTTCGTTTTATTAATAAATGCACATTCACAAAAGAGAAATATTAAGGAATTTGAAAATGAACTTTGGAGTGAATGTTAGAAGTTTGTTACTTTGATAAAGCTCTGCATGAAAATATGGAGAGATGAGAAGAAAAAAAATGTTTTGATCTTAAGCGTAAATACCTGTATTATGTAAAACCTGTATTATGTAAATAAACTATACAAGAAATTAAGTAACTTTGATAAATCTAAGTCTATCAGTTGAAAACTTTAGATTGACAATGTACGTATAATATTGTTTTCCAGGTAGACATGTATATGCCTTGCGATTGGAAAATATCAAATAATTATTTTTTTTTAATATAACTTTTTGTCTCTTTATGTATTCTTAGGATATAAATTGATTTAAGGTACTTGCATATACATTAACATGCATTCAATTTTTTTAAAGTTTAAATAATAATTAATGTGCACTAAGAAGTCTCCAGAGAATTTAAAACGTGTCCCTAAATTTCTCTGAAGGAGAAGTGATGTCTTCCTAAATTTTGGGTCTAGGTTTGTAGCAATTAAAACAGAATGCTGCGTTTCAAACGTAGTCAGTGGCATTTCCATAATGTTTAAAATTGTTTTTACATGTTTATAAGTTTTTTTTGTCCCCTCGTCACATTTATGAAAAGTATTTTGATAGTTGTATCCGTAATTTCCCTTCGATCTTGAAAACCTTACTGCTATAGATTTTGAATTACTGGACTAAATCTATTACTAAAATCATTGATCCCCTAATCCACTGTCAATTTGATGTCAGATTTTAGAATGCTGTATGAATGCCTTTCTTTAAATATAACATTTTCCTACACGGATGCTTCGGACAAGCGATAACTGAGGAATTGGATTTGGGGTAATTTAAAGTGAAAGAATTAAAATCAGTGTGGAAATTCAAATTTTGCTTTAAAAAAATAGTATGAATGAAAACAATTGTTTGAATTCCATTTTTGCACTTCATTGGTATTACACATTTTAACAAGCACAATAAATGTATTTGGAGAAAATGACATTGGAGATAGTTTCTAGTAAATGCACAAAAGGGCTATTTATAATTATCGTGGGATTGATTTGGTTTTGAAAGCATATACATGTAATAAAGCAAAATTTTAGGAAAAAGGGAACTATAGTCACATTTTGATATGATTGTAATGAAATACGGAGAGTTAGTTCTAAAATTTTGTACATTTTTGTGCTCAGAAAGATGTGTGACTTTATGTGACACACACATATGTGACTTTATTTATCTGAATAAAATAAATTATTCCAATTTAGTTGAAAAAAATGTCTAAATGGGCCTGCTTTTGGCCAAAAAAATCAAAGAGAGTTTTCTTGTATTAAATGCTAGCTGTATCAGTGATTAATTTTAAAGACATATGACACATGGTCTCCCCCCTCCTTTTTTGTTACACATTCATATGGCAAAGATTATTTTGTTAATATTGTCACATTTGTTTAAAAATAACTAGTTCATTTTTTTTAAAAGATCAAATAAATTACAAAATGCATTTGTCGTATTGCTCACTTTCTGCTTTCCAATGGTTTTCATTGGGGGTTCTCTTGATGTAAGGTTATGTATATATGCCAGTTAACTTGGGGATAGATTTCACATTTTATTGGAAGATGTCACCTCGATTCTGTACTTTGATTAAACAAGGCAAGCAATTGACAGATAAGTTTAATATTCCTTAACTGCCTCAGATTGTCGCCGCGTGGCGCAGTGGTAAGAGCGTTTGCTCTAGAGTCGCAGAGTAAGGAGTTGATCCTTACGTTGCGGATTCAATCCCACTGTGGGACATGGAGATCGGTCCTTCAGATGAGACCGTATAAACCGAGGTCCCGTGTCACAGTAGCTGCTGACCCGAAAAAGGGCCCTCACTGATCAATAGCCCTGGGTGCCGAGTATAGGTCAACCTTTGCAGCTCTTCACCGGCAAGTGGTGGCGTCTCCATATGAGTGAAAAATTCTCGAAAGAGAATTAAACAACAAACAAACTGCCTCAGATTTGCAAAAGAGCATAATCATTTGAATTAATTTGCATTTCTTTCTATCATTAATGCTTTCACGGAAAATTCAGTTGAAACTGTTTAAGTAAATCTGGAGAAGTGAAAATGGGAAATGTTTGCACATTTATATAGATAAAAGTAATGATGGTTAGTAATGTTAAGTACAGACACAAAATATAATCTGTGTAAACGATATACCATATATGACTTCGCTAATTTCCCCGATGAAATTGGTCACTCTAATTTGAAATCGTTGACCCTGCTTTTTGTTAAATCCATGAACAATCAGAACTGGGTGCGGTAAGGAAACAGTAGATCCTGTGTACGTGGAATCGTGAATATCTGTTGGTTGAAAATCATCCTCTATGGTTTGCTGAACTCTCCATTCTGCTTTCAGGGCTCCGGGAAATGATTCAATTGTAACCTCACAGATTATTCTGTCAGTTTCGATATCTTTTTCATAACTACTGATCAGAACTTTCGGCGTGCCTGTAACAATTCGGGATTTCGAATTTTAACTTCATTCAATGTCTTTTAAAGTTTTGGGAACCAAAAACACAACAGATAACTTTAAAATGACATGGTTAGTGATTTTTAAATCACTGACAATCTCAGTTTTATTAAATCAAAAGTACACTACTTATTTTAAAAGCAAAGTCCTTAATTTTCTCTAAGATAGCCTAAATCGATGTGATTAAGTTAATTTTAGTGTTACTAATATTGTATTCGTTTTGTTTGTATGGGTTTTGGTCATAAAGTAGTTCCATACTTTTTTGATTAGTCATATTATCAAAGAAGTATTATTAGGTAGTGTAAATACAAGTTTGTTTAAATTATGACCTCTAGGGGTAATATAGAAGTATCCTCAGGTAATGCAGATTCAAGTTTGTTCAAACCCTTGGGGTTGAGCGCAGACACAACATGAGGCTAAAGTTTAAACATTTTCTTCTCAAGAACAGCTCAGTCATCATTTGTAATATTAATATTGAAGTATCTTCAGGTAGTGTAGATTCAAGTTTCTTCAAATCATGATCCCGGGGATTAGGCGGGGCCACAACAGAGGTTCAAAGTTTTCAAAAGGAATATAAAGGAATAGTCTTTAAAAATCTTCTTCTCAAGAACAAGTAACAATTATTAGTCATTTTAATACAGATGCAACCTTAGGTATTATAGAATCAAATTTATTTTAATTATGACCCCCAGGGGTAAGGGAGGGCACAACGGAGGGTTTTTGTTTTACATAGACATATAAAGGAATCATCTTGAAAAAATCTGCTCAAGTACAGCAAAGCCATGATTAGTCATATTATTAAAGAAGCATCCTCAGGTAGTAAAGATTCAAATTTGTTCAAATTTCGAGTGGGTAGGGTGGGGCCACAATGAGCGATAGAAAAAAAAATCTTTTAATTTCTTCTGCTCAAACAGCTAAGCCATGATAAGTAATATTGATATGGAAGCATTCTGAGGTGGTGTAAATTCAAGTTTGCCCCCCCCCCCCGTAAACTTTTCAATACTGAACTGATTTCTGTTTTTCCTTGCAAATGTGCTCAGGTGAGCAATGTGGCACATGGGCTTTTTTTTTTTACTGTATGTTCTATCGCAGTTAAACTGTCCGTAGATGTTTTTTTCTTTGCATGAACTATGATATTATTATACATTCTTACATATATTTGATTCAATAAATATATCAATTTTCATTCAATTTTATTAACCGTCACGGTAGCTCAGTCGGCAGAACGCTTGCTCCGTGATCGGAAGGTCGTGTGTTTGTATCATGGCCGCGACTGACTTAAGTCGATAAATAACAGGTTGCATTTGTTCTTTCGCCAAGCGCTCGGAACTTTGAAGTGAAAGTTGAGGCTCTTTCAGATGAGACCTTGAAAACAAAGGACCCGTGTCACGGTAGGCGTTGGCACGATAAATAACCCTTACTGCTTAATGGCCCCGAAAGCCAAGTAAAGGTCTAAATTTGAAGCCCTTCACCAGTATATGGTTACGTCTCTATATGAGTGAAAAATTCTCGAATGGGACGTACAACAACAATAACAATCTTATCAACCAATCAATCAATTTGAATAAAAATCAAATTAATCTTATTTTAATTTTTCTTTTCAACTTAAAATTGGTAAATATTTTGTACAAGGGTTGCTTACCAAAATAAATTGGTTTACTGCGCATAGACCCGACAGCATTTGATACACAGCACTGATAATCTCAAGCGTCGTTAAAATTCACTTTGCGTATTACAAGTGAAGGATTGGCAATGCTTCCTCCAACATATTTTCCACCACTACCTGAAATGTCTATGCTCTTTTTATCTTTCGTCCAAACAACATGTGTTACGTCTGGGGAATCGTCCGAAAGGAAAATTTTGCAAGAAAATATAACGCTCCGATTCGAAAAATCAGTTTTAGGACGTGTGTACACAGAAGGAGGGTCTGTAATGGAAGACATAAACTATCAGCTTATTTGAAAACAAGTTTGTTTTCAAATACAATGCCTCAAATAGTGCAGGCTTTGGTTCAGATTATGATAAAGTTCTGTAAACTTAATGTTTTGCCAAGGAATCATATTGCGGATAATGAAACAGACAAAGGGATGCTAAAAAAGATGTATTGCTGTATATCTTTTCAAATGTTTTTATTAAAAGTTCAGAAGGTTAAAATAATTTTAAAGTTAAAACGGACATTCTTTAAAGTCAAAAAATATACAATTTTCATCTGTTTAAAATCATACAAACTGCATCACAATTTTCAAGGTTTGAACTTGATTATATACGCACCACCAACTAATTTCAGCAGAACAGCATTACTAATAGATTTCCCAATTCCATTCGTAACTTCTAGTTGATAATACATTTTGTCAGCATCAGATGCCTTTGTTATTACTAAAATAGGTTTCTCTGGATCCAAACTGCTTCCAAAATATCGGGCGTCATCGATATCAATGGTCATAAAATTATCAGGAGCTAGATCTTTGCTTTTTTGCCAAATTGCTTTTTCCGGAGAAGGACAAGACTCAATGATAGAATCAACTGTGATTTGATCACCAAATGTAGCAGTCAGTATCTGACAAATTTCAACAGTCAGATCTTTGCCAATTTTTTACAGATGGGGCAGCTAGAAAAAATATGTGGTAAAATTTATGAGATGGCAAGTTGTGCTTTTTTCATTTTCATCTCTTGAGATAACTACTTCATAAAATCTGTACCTTTTTAAATAAAAAGTCAGATATCTACTAATGGCAAAAAAATCTTCAATTCAAACCTTACTTTGACATAAATAATGTAATTGCTCTTTTCCTTTAATAGTTAATATATAAACATGAAAGTATTAAATAGTACAAGTATATTTACAATACCTAGAGATATGACCTTTGAAACTGATCCTACAGCATTGAAAACTTCACATGTGTATTCACCGCTGTCGTTCTCTGATGGAGAAAGAATTTTCAGATATCTGTCTGTAACACCACCCCCTTCATACTTATTTGTATTCGTCGTAAAACGTTTTCCATCTTTGCTCCATTCAACTTTCTGTAAACTAGGAACTACCTTTTCAGCATCACAGTTATAAAAGATGGTAACGCTGTCTATTCCTGAAGTTGCCTGGATTATCTGTAGATTTGGTAGATCTATAGAATAATGTTTTTACCATTTACTAAAGCATATTTTTATCACATTTATTAGAAATGATTTGCCAAATACAAAGATAACAGATTTCAGTTTCCAAAAATATTCCTATGGAATAGCAAGCAGGCAAATTATGAGAAAGACTCCAATGTCTGTATAGTCCAAACAAATAGACCAAACGGGTCCAAAGCTCATTAGATGTTTTGTGGTAAAGAATATTAATTCTAATATTTTTGAATTATGATTTGGTGGAAAGGATATTAATTTGATGAAATGTTTGAAAATAAAGTGAATGGGCATTGAATGATTCATTTACATTCTGATTGTACACGCAAGTACTCTGAAGTTGACATTGAAAAGATGCTTGAGTTTCTGATTGACAATATCTATGTGGTTTTTGTAGACCAGGTCATTTGCGCCACGATATTAGCAGACCTTTTTTGTATTCATATGACGCAGAATTTGTCCAAATTCTTGTACGTGAAAAGAAGAAAACACTTGCTGTGGCCTTCAACTCGACATTTAGATATATCGACGACGTATTGTCAATTAACAATGGTTATTTCCATTCTTATGTCAATACGATATATCCTGGTGAGCTTGAGATAAAAGATACCACAGATTCTGACACATCTGGTTCACATTTGGATATTTTACTTGAAAAAGACGTTAATGGTAATCTAACAACCAAGCTTTATGATAAACGTGATGACTTTAACTTTTCAATCGTCAACTTCCCTTACTTATGCAGCAATATACCTTCATCACCTGCATACGGGGTATATATCTCTCAGTTGATTCGATACGCAAGAGCATGTTCTACGTATGTACAATTTCTAAAACGAGGTAAATTATTGGCAAACAAGTTGATGTAACAAGAATATCAGCTGTCTCGTTTGAAGTCATCATTTCTTAAGTTCTATGGTCGAAACAATGACCTTGTCAGCTAATACATTTTATCATTAAGTCAAATGCTGACTGACTTTTTCATACTAATTGTTAGACCATTATTTACACACTGAATTGTCGACGGATTTTCCCGTTATTTCCCGAACATGACAAGGAGCACACGGCGGATGTGACCGGTGGGCAGGGGATGCTCACTCCTCCATGGCACCTGATCCCATCTCTGATGCTTGGAGGTTCGTGTTTGCTCTGCTCCTATTTTGTATTGTTTGATGGACTTACTGAGCTTGAATACTGTTAGTTATCTCCTTATATTTCATTAATTTATTTCATAACGTCAAAACTTAACATCATCATATCTTTTATGCTAAAAGGAAAGGATGTGAAATGCTTATGTCCTAATCACTCTGTTCTGCTTGGCATTACTTAAAATTGTTTCATTTGTTTGTTTGATGAAACAGGAAAAGTATATAGGATGAGTAAAGTTATGTGTTATGTACCTCCTATAGCTTCTAGGAAGATTGAGTTAATAAGGACTTTAAAATGTCTTCTGTCTATTTCTCGTGATATCACAGCCTGATATTCACCCTGGTCTTCTTTTTTAACCCTTTGTATTACAAGTATTCTACTGGTACTCCCATTGTACTTCTCTTTACTTATGTCAATGGCCTTTGTTGTGTCCCCTCTCTCTTTCACCCATTTAACTGGCCAGTTATCGGTGTGAAGCCAATTTTCCGTCTCAACTTCAAAGCACGCCTTTTCCCCACATAGAATTTTGCTATTTCCATTTATTTTTATCACTGAAATATCTTAACGAAATTTTAAAAAAAAAATAATATTGTTAAATTTAGACAATACAACATGAATAATGTAAACCTTACCAATATTTTGTGAGTGCTTCCACATAATCATCATTCCTTCTAAAAATACTTTGTATTTTTCCATATCTTTACAACCAAAATCAGATTTTTCAATTTTTGCAAGTTTCTCCTCATAGTTAACTTTATATCCAAGTGAGGTCACAAACTTCTGAGCTCTCTGAATATTTCCTTTAAGATCATTCCAGCGTGACACGAACATGCCATCAGGAACCTCTGATGATTCTATATGCGCAAACGTATCGTTTCTGAATATTCTAAAACACTCAATGTCATCTCCAATTTTTGTAGCACCACTATCCGGTGTCTTCCCCCATCCTTTTGTGGGTTTTAAGTTTGGACAGAGATTTCGTATCAGTGTATAAAGTAACGAAACATCAAATTGATCATAGACAGGAAGCTGTGGCGGGGAAAGCCTACAAAGTCTTAGCTGATCCAACCTCAGTCTGTGTCTCCCAGTTGTCAGTTCTGAACATGAATTGATGGCGTTGTAGAGATCAACTGGTTTGATTTGACTTTCAAAAACATCCTTCAACACCAGTTTTATCTCGTCCATACAGACTATTCCAAGTTTTACAAAATTTTGTTGATCCTTTGACAAAAGTTTAGAGGCCATACTTATCTTCTATTGATATTGAGTGGTTCTTGCATATTTATCATGTAAATAACTGTGTGCCTGAAAATTTGATAAAAATATCAAACATTTACAAACATGATACATTATCAACGTGTTAAATGTAAGCACATAAGTACATATGGCAATTGAATGACTATTCTACTTAATAAGTTAAATGGTTCAAATGTGCGATTTTTCTACACTTTATACAATCATTCCTCACAATAAATTAAAAACTAGGCTTTTGGATATCATAGGGAACTGCTTTTACAATAAAAATGCAAGTCGGAATTTTTCCTATCTTGTGATTGGTCATCAACAAAAATTACTTTGTGAAAAATAACTCTGATTCTACACACAAGAACTCTGAAGATGATATTAAAAAGATGCTGGAGTTCCTCATTGACAACATTTAGGTAGTCTTCGTAAAAACTGTTGGAATTTCCGATGGGAACTAATTGTGCTCCTTTACTAACTGACCCATTTTTATATTCTTATGAAGCAGAATTTAATAAAAAACTTTAACATGAGAAGAAGAAAACACTTAATGACCTCGACGTTTAGATATATTCACCCCTTTGTTTGACTGACTATAGAAAACAAGGACCAACTTACAACTAAATTGTATGACAAACAAGATGACTTAAACTTTTCCATCGTTAACTTTCCTAATTTATGAGTAATATCCCACTTTCACCTGCATATGGTGTTCATAACTCCCAACTTGTTTAAAACTCGAGAGAATTCATTGATTATGCTCAATTTTTAAGCCGAGGTTCGCTATTGACAGATAAGTTGATGTTACAAGGATTTCAACCACCTCACTTAGGCATTTCGTAGATTCTATGGTCGTTATAATGACCTTGTTAGTAAATATAACCTATCATTGGGTCATATTTTGGCTGACATTTTTCATACCAATTGTTAGGCCTTTGTTTGACTACGAAATGTTCCGTCTACCTGATCAATACATAGAGCTCATGGTGGGTGTGAATGGTTGACAGCGATGCTTACTCCTCCTAGGCACCTGATTCAACTTCTAGAATTTCCAGGGGCCCGTGTTTTATCCTCTTCACATTTTTGTATTTTTTATAGTTTTGTTGGTCCTTATCGTCAATAGTCAGTAAATATCAAAATTTGAAACAGATGTTGTCTGTGGTGTCTTTAATTTAATTCGAGTTCAGTGGGATATATCAAATTGACATATAAATGCCAACGCATGTGTTATTTGATAAAATGTAGTGATCTAATCTAAAGTCGAGTTTAAAGCCACAGCGATCTTTTTTTTCTTATACAAAGGTTTTGCGATTTTTGGTGCGGTGGTTCTTACTTGTGTCATGAAGTTCCGTTCATTACTTTCTCATCACTCACTAACGTACTAGTATTCAGAGGGGGGCAGAGCACCCGCCCCTTTTGAAACACAATATTAAGTAAAGAGTATAAATAAAGATTAAGAATGGACAAAACCAGATAACGAGAGAGAGAGAGAGAGAGAGAGAGAGAGAGACTAAATCGATGCGAATAATAATTACAATCCAATCAAATTATTATTCACAGAATTACAAGTATTTTACTATTAGACTTTTAGGTCAGAAATAACTTCTGAATAAATACTAGTACTTACTGAATTCTCGGACACGGTTAATTTATTTTCATTTTCTTTTGAGATTTAAATATTGATTGCCAAACTATAACATCGCTTACAGCCACGAACAACTTAAAAATTCGCTCAATCCTCGGGATACATTTCCAAACACAAATCTTATTCATTGTTTATTTTTGTAGTTCTATCAAACTACGTTAAAGGTAAACTACTGAGGTAATTGTTGTGAATTTTTGATTTAATACAACCTAAGAAAGTGTTACTGTGCCTCTGAAAATGCCATCCAAATCACCTTATACTTTGAGTGGATTTACATGTAATACCGTGATAATAAGAATAAAGAATTAGAAAATATGACAAGGGCGATATCAAGATAAAGTAAAAAAAAATTGTATGCACTTAACTGTTATAAAGAGTGCCCCCTTACCCTCTTTTTTCTTTCATGGTATGCTTTAACTTTTAATCGACCCTGTCTAAGCCAAGATTCCTGGAATATTTCCGGTAAATGTAAAGTTTTCATCATAAAGGCCTTGTTTAAAAAGTTAAAAATGAAAATTTTCTTTGGATTGATAGATTCCACATTGAGGGGTTAATAAGGACTTTATTTGTTGGCTCAGGAGAAAACATTACTGGTAGACTTTGGTGCATATTTCTTAAAATGTATGTAGTGTGTAAGATGGGTTACCCACGTTAGCCGATGAAACACATAAAGTAACTGATTTAAATGTCTATCTTATTTTCATATCTCTTTACATTTACCAATCTATGTGCAACGTGTTGAGGGACCTGTACCTGGTTGATTCTAAGATCTCGAGTTTGGATTGATACTACTAACAAATAAACAATTTTCCTCTTAAAATGATTGTATGACATGATTGGCCTACAAATATATACAGATATGGCCCTTCCCTTACTTAGGAGAAAATCACACTTGATGGTCGGTTTAATAATTACAAAAGAAAGTGGGGGTTCACAAATGTACCAGACATACACCAGTTATGCTTTATTCAGGCTCGCAGTATCAGTCACGATGCCATATCCTATCTTATATACCAGTGGTCAGACTCTGACAACAGAAGATATACTGCATTTCCTTATTCAGGATCCGCACGAACATTCATCCACTGCTATCAGAGACTTACAATGTGTCCAGGAAGGTTACCACTCAAGCCTATGAGGAGTTGTCCTCCCTCTATGATCTGCCTTTAAGTTGTTAGCCACGATTTTTTACAGTAAAACACAATACTACTAATTTATTGTGGCAAGCCTTCATCGCCAGGCAATCCAACTAGTATTGCTAATTAATTGTGTTAAGCTTCAATATTAGGCCCGCTACCTTATCTCCAAAATACATTTCTTCTTTCTGTTGTGGTTTTTTGAAACATTTTCAGAGGCCCAGTAACACTTTCTTAGGTTGTATTAAATCAAAATACACAATTGCCAAAATAATTTCCCTCAACGCAGTTTGCAAAATAATCTATGAATAAGCATTGTGGTTGGAGATATATCTCAAAGAATGAATATATTAGTTGTTCGTGGTTGTAAGCGATGTTATAGTTTTGCAATCAATATTTAAATCCCCAAAGATAACCGTGTCCGAGAATTCAATGTGTTTATTCAATAGTTATTGCTGACCTTTAAGCTAAATACTGAAGTACTTGTTATTCTGTAAATGATTATTTGAATGGCATAGTAATTGTAATTGTTATTAGCCCCGATTTAGTACGTCTCCCTCGTCTCTCTCTCTTCGCAGGGCTGTTAAAGCAGTGCTCAGATCATATTCATAGTGAAATTGCTGTTCCTGGGGTTAAGGGCTTTGGATGGGGCTCTAGTGCATGGCCTATAATGAAAACGTACGATGTTTTGAAAATCCCCCACTATATTTACCAGAGAAACTTTTGAAAATCCCCCACTGTATATTAAGCAGAGAAACTAAGTGCAAGGTTATGATGAGCATGCATATTTTTTCCCAGATTGTGAATTTCATGGCCCTTGGATACAGGGATCTGATGTTAAGGGGCTCTATTGATTATATTGTAAAATACACTAATTTTTTTTAATTGAAACCTTCTTTCTGCTCCTAGGTCTTTAGCAAATAAACAAGGTAAAATAATTATGAGAAGCAAGAGATTTTTCAAAAAGACTAGTGTGAAATGCATGGCTCCATGGACAGGGGTTCTTGTGTTAGGGTAGTGCATAGGTAGATAAGTAAGAGCCTCTTCTAAATTTGTGAACTTTGTGACCTCTGGGTCGGGGCTGTAATGTTAGGGAGGGCTCTCTTTATATGATAAAATTGCGTTGATTCTTTGAAAGTACTCTCTGCTTCTAGGTATTTTGCAGATAAACAAGGTGCATTGTGATGAGCAAGTGTGTCTCTTCTATAATTATGAATTTTATAGCCACTAGGTCAGGGGCTATGGTGTTTCTGTTCATTGGTATTTAATAGATAGACTAAATGAATGGTTATGATGAGCAAGTGTACCTCTTCTAAAGGTGTGAATTTCATGGCTCCTGAGTCAGGGGCTGTGGTGTTAGGGCTTTATTGATTATATAGTGAAAATGAATAAATTCCTTGAGAATTTTCTTCTCAGCTCTTAGGTATGCAGTTGAATTATGATTCTCCTAAAATTGTGAAACTTTGATGGTTCCTCGTTCAGGGGTTCTGGAGTTAGGGCGGGACTCTATATATTAATAGTAAAAATGCAATAATGTTTTGAAAATCCTCTTCTGTGCTCCTGGACATCTAGAGGGAAAACAGTATATAAAGTTGTAAAGAGCAGTTCATCTTAGATAATTTAACACTGTATAGTTTATCTGATAGGTCAATTGAATAAAAGAATAAAAAAGAATTTTTATTACATAAAAATGAGACAAAAATATCTATGTACATTAATTTTTTTTTTCAAAGACATAGAGAGGCAAATGTGAGATGGAATGGGTTTAGATTTACCATAAGTGCTCAAGAACTATTTCTATTGTTTAATCTGTATGGTGATGGTGGCAGTTTGGAGAATATGAGCATTGACAAGTAAATAGATCCTCTTTATTATTTGTTATTTAAGTACTACACTAAATATTTTATTATTTTCTTATTATCCCATTTCTCTTGCTAACTGGTAACATATCTTTATCTATCAGTTTTGATTTTTTCTATGATTCTATGGATCCTTTACAGTGTTGTATTATACTCAGATGACCACTAAGTCCTTTGGGTCTCTTGTTTGAGATCACTGTGTGTTATCTTCACCCTTTTCATTCAACACAGAGGTTTACAGTAAAGATGAGTGGTAGTTTATTATATGTAAGAATAAACTGAACGTAGAAATGAAATCTCTGATCAATAGAGGATTGACACAATCTGAGCAACCATTTATAAAACCATGTATAAAATTTTACCTGACTTTA